GGTGGCAAGACGAAGACCGAACACAAAATGTGACGACTCGTCCAGTGACCGACCGTGGGCATGAGGATGGCATGCACAGGAGCAGCAGATTGGCCGGATGTGGGTGATTGCTGGGTGATTGCTGGGTGATTGCTGGGTGATTGCTAGGTGATTGCTGGGTGATTGCTGGGTGGATGTTGGACGTTGCTGGATGGATTGTTCAAGTCAAGTGCTGGATGATTTGTCGGATGATGATTCAATCAAACCCCAGTCATATATGCTATGCGGTGTAACATCCACCGACCGACGATAGCTCAGTTGGTAGTAGCATCAGACTGTAGTGAACGAGCAATCTGAGGGTCCCCGGTTCGACTCCGGGTCGTCGGATTCCAGCCTTCTTGGCTCAGTTGGCAGAGCGTCTGCCTAGTAAGCAGAAGGTCACCAGTTCAATTCTGGTAGAAGGCATTCCTTTTTCTTTCCCTGCTCCTGGTCCTGGTCCTGTTCTTGTTCCTGTTGCATCTCGCTCTCTCCTTTGTTGTTGCTGATGCTGCTTCTGCTCGGTGCTGCTGCCTCACCTCATCGTTGCTGTTGCGGTTTGCATGGTGCGTTTGTTGCGCTGATCAACTCGCACTGTGTTTTTGTGCTCAGTCCCCATCGTGTGTTGCGCTTCTGTCCACTTGCATCCATATCGTCGTGCCCGTGCATTTTGTTCGCCCCAGTGTCTATCACCGTGCCTAACCAAACTCGCTTGAAGCTTCGGAACGATCTTGTTCTCTCCGTGACAATCTTCCAAATTTTTCCTTTCCTCGACTATCTCGAGCTCAATCCCTTCATCCGTTGCATCGGGATACTTTCGTAACATCGCCAGAGTGTTTGTACTTCTTCATCTCTCAATATATTGACCCCAAACGCTGGTAGAATCGCACCACTCCTTGTCTCTTCCCGACTCACAGCGTCTTCCACCACTTCATCAGCGAGGCAGCCACAATTGTTTGGAACCTCCCATTCAATGTGTGAGAATGGGATGTCCGCATACCCAATCATCGTGAAATCGACAACCCAGTACTGATTGGCCTTTGAAGTTTCTATTCGTGGGTGTTTGTCTATCGCTACATTTATCGAATTCTTTGATCTTATTATTAGCGGGAGTTTCCATTGTTTGCACATCATGAGTGATCTCGGATTGCCGAAGATCCTTGTCCCCTCTTGAGCTATCCTGATTTCTGGTTAGGAACGGAATAGCTTATCCTCATGAAATTGATCGCACATTTAATAAAAGCCTCACTGTCATCCCCTCGAAATCACGGCGATCATTAAATATGACATGTTAGCATCTCCTCCCGTTATGCTGATCCGTTGTTTGTCTTTGGCCAGATATATACGGTCTCAAATGGCTTTCGGTGACACATTCACTTTGTTAGGCATGAGATTGTGTGTGGGTCTGGTGCTGGTCATATTTCGTATGGTCAATTTGGTTCCTTGCGATTCATCATTCGATGCCCTCCTGTTGATCATTGGTGGACCCATTATAGGTGGCAGGACAGTCGATAGCTTCTCAAGGGATATCGTCTTGGTTGTTTGGCTTCCTAGGGTTCATAGTATCAAACGGTGCAAGCTCACAGGACAGCAGTGCTTGGTAGAGACCATCAGGGTGCGTGCCGATGGGTCCATGAGCGAAGGTAATCGAAAGTGCGTCGTGCATCTCAATAAGCTCAATATTGCACCGCCGGGATCTTCTGTCGGACGTGTGTCATGGCCCACTTTGAGGCGGGACTCCCGGCTCCAATCAGTTGGTAACGGAAACACCAGTCGCGATAGCCACATCGATGACAGCCAGTTGCTAAGCGATGTGGGGATAAATATCACTCATGCGTAGGAGATTGTCAGTACTCGGGATATCCCAAACTGGGCTCGACGCAGCACCACTTGGTCTTACGTCATAGCTCCTCCCATCTAGCTGTTGGCAGCCCATGTATTCTCGCTCAAAAATAACCCACTCCAAATCGGCTCGCATTGTGAGGCATCCCTCTACCAGCTGCGTGGAAGGTTGCAATGGCGAGACGGTCAAAGTTGCTGCCCACGAGAGAAACTCAACCGACAGCTGCAGGTGTCGACTTGGATATTGCTTTCCTTGCCCGTGCAGTCTTGACTGCCGCATCGGGGCGATGGTTTGCTTGATGCATCTCGAGTCAGGGTATCCATGAACAGCAAATTTGATCAGCACCCCCCCCCTGCCCTCCCCAAACAGCCCTTTCAAGCAACGTCGACATGGGATCCTGGTCATTCCCCAAAGAGGCGCATCAACCTTCGTGGAGCTTGGTGGCCATGGATTCCGGAGGGTGGCGGGGCTCGTCTTGCCTCTGCCGGCGAGCAATCAGGCACAAACGGCGCCCGGACGAGGAGACAGACTCCACTCCTGCTCCAGAGACAAGGGCGAGGGAGGAATCCCGCGTCGCGATCTGCCCACCTGCTCGACGGATCGACCTCAGCCGGCCGCCTTGATCACCTGACTCGGTCATGGGGTGAAAGGAGGCCAGGCCACACGAGCACCCTGCTTGTTGCGGATGCGGGCGCCTCATTGGCCTCGGCTCGATTTCGGCTACACAACAACGGACACTTGGCACGGCAGCAACGACGCCCCTTCATGGCCAGCGGTCCGGTGCGGCAAAGAGGCCTGGCAGAGGGTATCCAGCTGTGTGGAACGTCGTGCAGCATCATCCCAAGGTCAACCCCCTCTGTGATCCAGGCTCTGGCACAGTATCTGTGGCTGACGAGTCGGACATGTCCTTGCTGCTGGTTGGCTGTGCGGGCCGCTCACCCGCCGGTTGGAGGGTATCATGTGCGACCAGCCTCGGACCATGTGGTGCTTGCGAATGCACACGCCGCCACGATGGAGACACAACAGCCAAGCCAATACCGCGACAGGGCGGCAGAGCTGCGTCCCTCCAAACTGGCAGCGACAATACCAGAACAGCCACAGGCTGAGGACTAAACTGTGATGTACACTTGACCAGCCTCCCAGGATACACAGAAATTGCGCCAAGGACGCGGGAACCGAGCAACCAGGAACAAGCAAGGCGGCGTCGTGGGATCATGACCTCGCCAGGCAGGGGCCGTTGTCCTCGGCGACCCCCTGCGCGGCCGGCTGCAGATATAAAACGACCACCCGCGGCGACCCATCTGCTCTCACCATCCTCTTCATCCTCCCCCCGATCAGTCGCCATGGCCATCTCCAAGGCTCCCCTCGCTCAAGTCATCCTTCTTGGACTCGTTTGCTTCGGTTGTCCGGGCATGTACAACGCCCTCAACAACCTCGGTGCTGGTGGTGGCACTGACCCCACCACTGGCAGTAACGCCAACGCCGCCCTCTACACCACCTTTGCCCTCTTTGGTCTCTTCGGTGGTGCCTTCAACAACATCCTCGGTCCCCGCATCCAGATGTTCGTTGGTGGCCTGACTTACTCTCTCTACATCGGTGCTTCCCTCAACAACGATCTCTCCGGCGGTGCCGCGGGCTCTTCCGGCGCCAAGGCTTTCTTCATCGTTGCCGGCGCCATTCTCGGTGTTGGTGCTGGTCTCCTGTGGTCTTCCCAGGGTGCTCTCATCATGGCCTACCCTACTGAGGAGAAGAAGGCCACCTACTTTGCCATCTTCTGGATCATCTTCAACCTTGGCTCCGTCTTTGGCAACAGTGTCGGTCTGATCCTCAACTTCAACAACCCCGATGTTGCCATCTCCACTGGCACCTTCGGCGCTTTCATTGGCATTACTGTCCTTGGTGCCTCTTGCGCTCTCCTCCTTGCTGACCCCAAGACCGTCGTCCGTGCTGATGGCACCCCCGTCGAGGTCATCACCCAAGGCAACATTGCCAGCGAGTCCATCGAGGTCCTCAAGCTCTTTGGCAACTGGCGCCTGCTCCTCATGGCTCCCTGCTTCTTGGCTTCCAACTACTTCTACGCCTACCAGTTCGGCTACATCAATGGTCATTTCTACAACGTCCGCTCCGGCTCGTTCAACGCCATCTTCTACTGGGCTTTCCAGGCTCTTGGATCCTATGTTATCTCCAAGTTCCTTGACAACGAGAAGTGGTCCCGCCACACTCGCTCCCGTATCGGCCTCGCCATCGTCTTTATTGGCAACACTGCTCTCTGGATCGGTGCCATCATCTACCAGCAGACCGCCTTCAACGATGTTGCTCCCGGCACTCCCCTTGGCAAGACCCGTGTTGATCTGTTCGGTACCCCCGGCCAGACCCACCCCGCCATGTGGGGCATCACCATTATGTACGTCCTGATGGCTGCCCTCGATGCCATGTTCCAGTCCTATGCCTACTGGATCATGGGTGCCCTCACCAACGACTACGCCACCCTGTCCCGCTATGGTGGTTTCTACAAGGGTCTCCAGTCTTTCGGTAGTGCCATCTCCTGGATCGTTGGTGGTGTTGTTGGTGCTCCCGTCTGGACCCAGCTTATCATCACTGTTGTCCTCGTCATTGGCTCTCTCCCCATTGCCTATGCCACCGTCAACTCCGTCAAGGACACCTCCAAGTCCGATGACGAGGCTGCCAAGGCTGCCGCCAAGGCCTAAACTGGTGTTATCATCAACATCACCTGATATGGCACTATCACCTGTCCCCATCCACTCCGACCACCACCCCCTTCCCTCACTTCCGCTATTTCTAGCTCGAAACTGAGACTCTTGAATGAAAATGTAAAGCTTCTATGCAAGTCAGAATAATAAATTGACTTTGAAACTCCGAGCCCATCTGATCTGTGTCTGCAGCGAAAGTGAGAGTATCTCGGCCACCGGTGTGGCAATTGATCCTGATTGTCTGTTGAGTATTTTGCATGGCACTGCCCTGGGGGTGATATCAGTTGCTCAGTTTGCCTCGTTGGTTTGGTTGGTTCCAACAGAGCCTGATACGTCGAGGATGAGCACTCCACAGGTCCACCACAGTCCTCCGTCTCCAGCAGAAGCCCAGTCCGGCTGGTGACATCAGAATAAATAGCTGATGAGTGCCATTTCGGACCGCCTTCATACTGGAGTCGATATCGAAGGGGTGTGTGTTACGCCGTGTCCCTCACACAATGCCGAACGTCACCCATCCAAGTTGTGCACCGGTCATCCCGACCGATGAACACACAGACACAGACACACAGACACACAGGCGGAGCATTCATCGCCCGTGTGTCCTCAGAAACGGGACATATGAGGCCGAGGCATCTGCCGACGTCATCAGGACATATTCCCGCCGCCGTAACCTATATAGCGCGTATGGCATTGCTCCCCCGGCCCTGTCCCGGATCTATCCTCAGCGGCACTTCTCGAGCCCGGCCACATCGCTTGGAAGCCGACACTGTCTTGCCATCAACTTTGGCACTGTTCTCTCAATCCCGAGTGCCTCCGACGTCCATATCGTCGCGTATTCAACCTCTGTCGATCCAGCCCTCAAGACCATCCAGACCACAGCCATGGATCCCGTTGTGATGCAAAATGCCTCAATCTTTTCGATTGTCGTCTACATCGGCACAGCCAATTTAGCTTTTCATTGCACAAAATACGTCAAGTGGAGACATGCATTCAACATTCAGCGCGGTCTCCAGATACACTCGCTCATGGCTTTGGCAACCATATTCTCGGCACTCTACTGCATTGGCAATCAACTGATGCTTTATGACGTGTGCACAGCCAACACATACTGCACCCAGTTCGCCAACTTTCTCTATGCCTTTGGCGATTGCATCGGGTCCGCCTCTATCGGTTGGGCATACCTGTTGAGACTGCGAGTGATGACCGTCAACAGCGAGCCAATGTACGCATGGCTCTTTGTATTTGGGATTGCACCGATCGTCTATGGCACCAACGATGTGTGCTTCATCCTCAGTACCTACGGCGTCATTTCCACGGCCGAATCGTGGTACCTCAACTTCATTTTCAACCTGGCACTCGAAATCAACCTCATCTGTCTCCATGTCCTGATGATGTTTCGACTGCGTTCCCTCGTCAACTCTGCACGTGTACTAAGATCGTCGGCACCGTCGCGAACTTTAACAAGTCAAAGTCGAAGCAGCACAACGGGTCGCTTCGAAAGCAGGGATGAGGTCAAGCGCGAAGGGGCGACCCTCATTGTGGCGATCGCAACTGAACTGGCGCTGTATGTCGGATTCCAAGTATACACTCAATACGACGCCACCGGGTTGATCGGAAACGCCGTCTGCATATTCCTATGGGTCCTGGACATTTTCCTGTTCTGCGTCGTCAATCAGTATATCACCAAGATCATCAAGAGGTCATCGGCAACAACAATGAGTGAAGGCTCGGCATCAGTGAACCCTTCCAAATCCTTTCAGCCGGATAGTCCTTCAAGTAGACCCATCATATCTACCGCACGAAGCTCCAGTGTTGCTCGACCGCTCACAGCTCAAAGCCCGGACAACGAAGTATAAGCGACAGTGGAATGATGGCTTTGAGCAAATCGGCTTGCCCTGGCGCATTGCACAATCGAGGCCAATGAATTTTGATACTATGAGGGCGCGACGCAGGTTCACAGAGTTGGGCGATGGTCGTGGCTGGTAGATGGCAGGCCGCCAGCAACAAATATCCGAGAGACGACGCTCCTCCGACAGGGAGGAGGATGGATGGAGTTGTGCTGCGTTCGCGTCGTGTGCGGTGCGATTGTTTGGTTGTTTGATTGGGGAATGGGCAGGCGATGATGAGCAGAGCAGGCGATAATGTCGGTGGGCGGAGCCTTGAACCCATCATGCCATTGAAGAGCCGCGCCCAGTACAGTACCGATACAGCACTCAGTACAGTACCCAGTACAGTGGTAGATGTGCGGAGCATCCACTTTGGCAAAGAGTCTCTCTGGTGCTGGCAGGCGAGCAGGGGGGAAGCGAGCAGGGGAAGAGTGGTGAAAGCAAAGGCGATGAACAACAGAGAGCGGTATGGGGCGAATGCGCAACTGAGCAAATAAGGAACTGAAGCCAATGTGGAATTGCGCAAATGTGAGCTGAACGAATGTGTAATCGTGCAAGGGAGAAAGAAAGACGTGAGGGAGAAAGCCAAAGAGGCAGCGAGCGGATTGACAAAAGTGGGAGGAACAGTGTGTGAGATGACGGAAGGGACAGCGAAGAAAAAAAAAGCGAAAGCAAAATTGCATGGTCCGGGAATCGAACCCGGGTCTGCCGCGTGGCAGGCGGCAATTCTACCACTGGACCAACCATGCCTTGTTGAGAGGGATATCAATCCATCATACACCACGACTAAGTGTCGAGTCAGCAGCCACAACCACAACTACAACCACAACCACAACCACAACCACAATCATGTCATGCTGGTACTGGAAACCATGATGCGCTGCCAACATGCGATCTGGTCTTGCCCCCCCCAGCAACTCCAAGCCCATTTGTTTCTCTACAAGACCTCTCAATTGTCACCATACGACCAACACATTTTTCCTTGTGCGGACGCGGCTCATGGACGATCGAGGACAGAGTGCTTGAGGAGGAGATCGACAATCGTCACTGTGGATCCGGGCACTCCCATGCGGTGCAGGCTCATAGTGCATGGCCCATGGTGCATGGCTCATGGTACACGGCCCGTACACTCGAGAATCGATGGCCACCAGAGCAGACAGCAGACAGCAGACAGCAGACAGCAGACAGCAGACAGCAGACAACAGGGCGAACAAAATGCACGGGCACGACGATATGGATGCAAGTGGACAGAAGTGCAACACACGATGGGGACTGAGCACAACAACACAGTGCGAGTTGATCAGCGCAACAGACGCACCATGCAACAAACGCACCATGCAAACCGCAACAGCAACGATGAGGTGAGGCAGCAGCACCGAGCAGAAGCAGCATCAGCAACAGCAAAGGAGAGAGCGAGATGCAACAAGAACAAGAACAAGAACAAGAACAGGAACAGGACCAGGACCAGGGAAAGAAAAGAAAAGAAAAAGGAATGCCTTCTACCAGAATTGAACTGGTGACCTTCTGCTTACTAGGCAGACGCTCTGCCAACTGAGCCAAGAAGGCTGGAATCCGACGACCCGGAGTCGAACCGGGGACCCTCAGATTGCTCGTTCACTACAGTCTGATGCTACTACCAACTGAGCTATCGTCGGTCGGTGGATGTTACACCGCATAGCATATATGACTGGGGTTTGATTGAATCATCCGACAAATCATCCAGCACTTGACTTGAACAAGCCATTCAACAAATCACCCAGCACTCGACTTGACAAATCATCCAGCACTTGACTTCGACAAATCAGCAACATCCACCCATCAGCCTATCTGCATATTCTATTCCCACCTGCGACCCATCTCCATTCTATTCGCGCCCCACACTCTCCTTCACGTGGACGTGCTATTTTCAGCCACTTTTGCTGCTTGCCACACCGTGGCTGCCATGAATCACGTTGACTCTGCTTCCGTCGCCCATCACCCAAAAACGACGATCGCCGTTCCTCGCCGTTTGCGGCCTCTCGATCTGCGAATATCGAACTCCTCATAAAATTTACCGGCTCGGGTTCACCCTCCATTCTTTTATCGATTCAACATCGCACCTGCGTTATGGGAAAGCTCAGCAAAGAACGAAAGCGCAGGAAGCTGATGCAGGTCAAGGCCGATGGCCCGGGCAAGGCGGCCAATGTCCAGCAAAGCTTCAAGCGCCCTCTGGAGACGGATATGACCGACCTGCCGCAAGACCGCGGCGAGGAGCTTGAGGATGTCGAAGACGAGCTCTATGACGGGAAAATCTCCAAGCGAGACCTCGAAACAACCGTTCATACCCTTACGGCTCTTATCCGCACACCTGCACTGTTCCACCACAAGGATTTCAAGCCTCTTCGGGCTGCCATCCACCAAGCGCATTCCCGAATGGCCGAGCAGGGAATCAACACTGGTGGGTGAGGTGGCTGGATCACTCGTCTCGACGCTCGCTATCAACGAGATCCTTGCGACCATTCGCTTATCGAGCCCGCACTGACAATGGTTGTCTATCCAACAGGAAGTTCGCTCAGCGGGAAGATTTCCGACGCCCTTCTCGATCATCGGTACGTATTTGCTTCATACTGTCCCTCGAGGTTCTGCAAAGACGATTGCCTTCCGTGCTATTTCTTGCATGTTTTAACGTGCCGGCCACAGTTGGCGGGACGCTTTGGTCGCGCTGGAAGAAATGCGATATAAAGGCCAAGTTCCCAAGCTCGGTGCCCTCCAGCGCTGGGTCCGAGACTGCGACGCGGCCCAGCGAGCCGGCCAGAGCAGCGGCGACCCCGAGATGATTCGTGTGCTCGACAGCATTCTCCGCACCACCGATCCCTCCTTGGTGCCTCCAGAAACCGACTCGTCGCGATTGATTCGCAAACATCAGTCATTCATCCCAACTGAACTGAAGGGAATTGACATAGTCCAGAATGCCACACAGCAAGGTACCTTCAAATGCACGCTTGCATACTGAGCCATCGAGCGAGCAGGAATAGGCAGCCAGCTTCGATGTCTGTGCTATGTTTGGAGTCAGTCGATATCGCTTCCGGTTAAGAAACCAGTCATCCCCCGTCTTGCCAAGCCATACCTCGGCTAACCTTCAGACACTTCTCCCGAATCTTACCATCGCCGGATAACCTTCATGCAGACTATTCATGTTTCTCTGGCAAGTTTCGGGTTGTTAGTCGGCAGAATGGCAGCGAGCGGCGCACTCCAAATCGCCACGACTTTATCATGTACACGTCCGAGCCAGGCACCATCAAGTTGGATCCCAATCAAGCCGAGAAAGTCAAGCGAATCGATGTACCGAGTGTGCCAGGCTGCTTCGCCATGGTCGACGTTCTAAGTGCTCACGAATGCACCCAAATCTTGGCAGCATGCTTTTCCCTCGGATTTACGCCCGATGTGCCCACAGAGGGGCCCGCAAGCGAGTCTGTGTCTGTTCTAGCCGACAATGTATTTTGGCTAGCGGATACAGAGCTGCTTTCAGTCATTTTCCGGCGTTGCGAACCATTTCTGCCTCCTACAGTCGCAGGCGCCCCACTCGCGGGAATCAATGCTCGCTGGAGAATCTATCGGTACGTTCCCGGTGCCGTGTACCGCCCACACATTGACGGTGCATGGCCCGCGAGTGGCCTCGACAAGGATGGAAACTATCAGTACGACGCTTACAAGGGCGAACGATGGTCCCGTTTGACATTCTTGGTGTACTTGAACGAGGGCTTCGAGGGGGGACACACCACCTACTTTTTGCCCTCAGTGGATGTGGGTATCCTCGATGCCTTTCCGGTCACGCCGCGAGCCGGGACGGTGATGTGCTTCCCGCATGGCGATACGCGAGGCAGTCTTTTGCACGAAGGGAGTGCAGTGACGGATGGCGCAAAGTACATCATTCGTGCTGATGTTCTGTACGAGGTCCGTCAGGAGGGCGAGGCTCGTGAAATGACGTGAGTTTGGTGGAGACACTAGGATGCTCTTCGAACGTACTTGCGAGCACAATCTCGTGCTATTGGAATATATGGTCCCGCAACTACTTGATAGACTCTCTGCGTACAGGAGGCAGCATCTTCAGTCACATTGTTTTTTCAGCAATCTACAGGTTAATTTAACACTTCATTTAAATTGGATGAGACAATGATTTCCGAAGCACTGAATAGCTCGTGCAATCCTCGCTGATCTGTGTCAGACCGGTCGTCAGTGGTACACAATCTTGAAAAGTCGTTAGCGGAGACTTCGGGTCGCTGCCTGTCGCCTCAGTCCACTTGCACTCAATGGTCCTGTTCTGCACTGAATGGCAGTTGTGATTGGTGGCGGTGGTAACGATGGTGCTCGAACTACTCAAATTATTGAGCAAAGGTGCGGTCTCCTGGGAGTGAATGCATTACCTCTCGAACTGCATCAAGTCGTATAATCAAAGGTTTGATCTATGGCTTTTGTGAACAATGGATCTGTGTGTATTTCTCCCAAGAATGAGATGATTAATGCAGGATATCCAGCTGCACTGTCGACGCTATCTTGAGCCGGACGGTGACTGACTTTGTCAAGATGATCATGCTTTTTGAAGCTATCCCCAGTCTAGGGCGATACGCTCCCAACAGTCAGCGATATCAAAGTACTGTCGGTGGTTTGTTTTGCCTGGCGAAGAGCCCACCAATCAACACTTACGCATTAGTGGTGGTGACGGGGCGATTAAGCAGAGGTGTTTCTATCGGGATAGACGAGAGTATCCAGATGCCCTAATACCGTGCGCCGTATGATATCCTGTGCGTCCACCTCTCCAGTGGAAATTTAGTCCGACCCTTATGATGACTTACGTGCATACACTGCGAGCTTTTTATAGCACGAGCGCGCATTGGTCGATATGATCTCATTGCCTGAAAACATATGCTGCTTGAAGAGCGAAATTGGTCCTGCTTTCACAATTTCGTCCGCATAGTCGTCGGAATCTGAAGGCCAGCAAGCTGTTACTGAGCGATCAGCAATATCACGACCAGGTTCGAGTCGCAGACTTACCCGTTAGCTTGCTGAGCATGAGCAGCAATTGTTCAAGATGCGACAGATGGTACGTGCGTAGTCCACTGACTAGAAACTGAACGAATGTAGCTGACGCCATGCGTTTTGCATTATTCGGATCTAGGGATGCAGAGTCAGATGATTCTGCTTGGCTCTATAAGCCCAAGACTTTGATGACGCAATTCACTATTTGAACTCCCAGATGCACTTGGGTCCACCGATCCAGATAACATGCATACGACTATACGGAGCCCCACGCACCCAGACCCCCTTTCGTCGAACCGGTGCAGGCGAAGGGTCTTTCACCGTACCCTCTCTTGCATTTGCTGTGGTGGCCGACTTTCAGGGACGAACTCGTCGAAACCTCATCATATAATCCTCGGACTACCTGCACGCAAGATTTGCGGCACCTGCAATACCGACAGTGCTGACCGATGCCGGCAAATGACTTCATCCTACCTTCGATTAACACTCGGAGTATCCCCAGGACTGCCATGAAGATCGGTTCTGGGCAGCAAACAGGAGTACGGCAGCCACATTGATTTAGTAATTGGGTACAGTGCGCAATTCGATTCTTTGAATTTCCGGCGCGCTCAGTGTTGTGGTTGATCCTACCATCTTCGCGGAAAGCGACTCCAGCCCCAACGAGCTCTTCGATGATGTATCCAAAGAGCTCCGACGACAAGCCTACCAATTCAGATGCAATTAGTTCGGTCGATTATCACCGAAGGACACGGCCACGTATCTATCAAAGGATAACACGCCCTCTTGTTTGCTGGTACATCAAGCAAAGTTTCAACCTGGCCGAGTTGACAGAGTCTTCTTGAGTTGGGCGAGGATAGTCATTTTCTCATCACGATCAGCGGCCATCCCTGGGATGATAAAGGGCACTCGCAGGGCGAGTTTTGAAATCAAGATAGACAGCTCGCGTTCGATCATTTGGGCCCTCTTTTGACCATCGATATCCTCAAGTCGGCGATCCAAATCGATTGTCAATGTCGGTTTCTGGGTAGGTGTTGTCAAGACTAGCGACTGTGCCAGCCCAGGTACGCTTGCTTTGGGGGTAGGCACAACGATCTCCAATAGAGCCTTGTGCATCGTTTTCTTTGGGAGTTTCGGCGTGAGCGAGTCGCTGAGTTGACTCCTCAGTGCCTTTGGTAGCTTGAGGACTGAAGCTAATTTGATGAGCTCTGAGAGGCGTACGATTGCTTCCTCGAACCGAACTTGGTGCGGCACATCATGAATGTATGTCAGCTTACGAATCAGTGTTGCCTTTGCTTCTGCCAGCTGATCAATCATTTGGTTGCGATCAACTGATGTCTGTAGCCACTGTTCCCGGATCACTTTTTGAATCGTCTCAAAGATGCTTTTGCTATCGCCAGACTCTACTACCGCCAGGGCTTTGATCATTTTCTGTGGGCCGTGCGCCTCCAGAAAATACCGCGGGAACTGTTCTTTAAGCGGATCGAGCAAACAAAGAGGAGGGTTGAGAGATTGATCGTGCTCATGCTCTGCTTGGCTTCTACCACACAAAGTCTGACTCAAGCCGTGCGACAGTATCATGACCTTCTTGAGTGGTAATACTATGTCGTTGCTCGCTATTCCCAGGTATCTCTGGGGATGACCTACTATGCGTTGCGAGAGTAGCCAACAGATCCCAGAAGTCTGAACTTTCTCCAGCGTTCGAAAGGGTTGATTCCCAGCGACTGATGAGCGAAAAGATGCCCTGACTCCGACAGAAAAGATCCAACGCTTGTTCTACAGTGTAGTGGCAGAATAGTTGAGCTTTTACAAATATGCTGGATCGCAGAGTGGCCATCGTATGATTGGAGCCTACCGTCCTTCACCACATGGAGGATGGCGCGATAGACTTCATTTCCACTGCCCTGCTCGAGGATCTTGATGACTGCAGTATTGAGTATTTCGCGATCCAGCTCACGGATTTCGCCGATTTCTTGATGACATAGGGGTATTTTTTCGTTGTTCAGACACAGATGGCGATGTGAATTCAGGCATCTGTTTCCGCACTAAGATCTGCAAGGCTACACCGGCTCACCATTCAGCGAATCGAGCACAAACTTGGCCAAATCCTCGCGCCAAACGGCAAAGCAGCTGTTGATGCACCGAAACAAAGGATTGATCATATCCTTGGGCAGTCCTGTCCAAGTAACTCAGTAAATATTCCTGCTGGCAGCATCGGCGCGATCAAAGGCTCACGCGAGTCGACTGGGGACTGAGGACTGGACCTCACCTATGCCTCCGATGCGGATGATGAAAACGATGCGGCGATCCAGCTCGCCGCCGTCAAGAGGCGGAAAGTTGTCAAAATACTTCAGGACCTTCAGAATCCAGTGGGCCCCCCTGAGATCGATACGTTGATATTCCAGCGATTATATTCAGTGTGGTCAGCCGCGCGCTACGTTCAGCTGTGCGATTACACTTGCGACACTCAACTGGATATTGTCTCGGGAGAGACTGCAGAGGAGCGCGTGAGACGACAGAAACATGAAGGCATCGTGTGTGATTTGCCGATTCTTTGAGACGGCAAGGACCTCGAGCAAGGGTGAGGTAGAAGAAACCGAATCCGAGGAGAGCGAAAAGATACGACCCGCTCTGCATCGCAGCCGCACGACAAAGCGGTGGATTAGTTGTCGTCCAGAGCAAGCATCGTTGGCCTCCGGGTTGCGCTGGAGCACGATCAAGCCCCGGCCCTGGCGATGACGCCGACGATGGCGACTCGCCTTGAGAATGGCTTGCGGAACCCCTTACATCGTTGACGACCCTAGTCCCTGAGAGCCGAGGCAGGCAATGCTGTCTCTAAATGATATCGATGCCATGCTTGCTGCACTCTGCCACACCGATCCAGATCTCCCTTCCAAATTGAACTGGGATGCCACGGATATGTGGATTGACCGCGTGCTTATTGATGATGAATGCTGGTTGCTTGACCGACGGCGCGCAATGCGGCTGATTTCACTTGGTTCCAAGAACGTGATATCTCCTCGCTCCAATCGAACACGCAGTTCTGTGGCAGCCAATGACCAATAGGCCCTTTGAAAGCAAAACCGATCACTTTCCCAGCTTCACAGAGGAGATCGTGGATCGCCCCTGGTCTCCATAATCGCCATGCACTCAGCGATCATGTTGCACACTGCATTAGCATCGCAATAAAAACGGAACACCCGGATTTTGGTGGTTGGTGAATGTTATCACTCAACTCGCGCGCTGGCCATGACCATTCAGTGATGCGTTTCTGGATCTGAATCAAGGGTGCTGTCTCGCCCAGATGGCTCCCCGCAAGCGAAAGACACCTCCCAGGCGACCAAGCGGATCCAGAGTGTCCACAAGGTCCTTGGTCTGCAGCAATGGATGAGCACTGGACAAACAGCTGTACTTTAGCCTGACCCGGCGACGGCAATTCAAGCGACTCGATCACCAGGTGTGCTCACATTGCCAGGAAGCCAAGCGACTCGGGAAGGCCGAGCACCTTGATATCGACACACCATGGAACTGTCCAGAGAGTCGAATGCATCCACCACACTCACACATCGAGCGGATGCACCACACTCACACATCGAGGCATCAATGTCAGTCGATCGTCGCCACAGGAGATTGACCGAGTGTATTCAAGATCATGCTTCCCAAACCAACGAAATCAAAGAGATTGCCAACCAGGACGGGAACAACCACGCGGCTTGCTCCCTGGAGCCCACGGAAGCTCAGCAGTCATGTGTCGCCGATGCCAGAAAGTGACTGTTCCGTTTCCTTCTGGATTGACTGTAGCGTCGCAGTTCCACACAGTATGACAGCTGGCATTTCAGCATTGCAATACAGAGCGATGGATGGGCGTGTATCCAGGGCCAGAAAGAAAAAATCTGTTCCTGGCTCAAAACAATAGGACTTTTACGATTGGGCAATTTCTTCACGAATACTAATGTTGCCGTTAAATCGAACGCCATTGGATACTAGAACGTTGCTCCCTGATTCCGAGACACCGCCTTCGTTCCTGAGGGTAGTCCAGCTCTGGTGTAATGTTGGTCTTCGCTCGCCGCGACCTCTCCTGACGGCTTCATAGATCTGCTGCGGCGAAATCCATGACACGGTCCGCAGTGTCCCGGATGATTGAGCCACTCGATCGGGAATCTCGTCAGTGTCTGTCATCTGGCTTGGTGTTTCTATCGAGCTCCCGTAATCATTCAGGAGACCCAAGATTGCCGGAAAGACAGCTTTCTCGATGCCAACACCCCATAGGAAATGTACATGTTCATATTCTGATCGACGTGAACCAAAATTAGTGCGCGAGTTGACCTAAGGCGTCGTCGATTCTTTGCTACGTCATATTTCCTGCACATCGATATTAGTCGACTCCGATGGTATCTAGGGCTCAAAATAGTCCTGTTCGCAACACCCGCTCGTTGGAACTTGTGGGACATCCCCAACATGTGACCAAGACCAGCCTATATCGTCGGTGATTATTGCTCAAATCTGACATACCTTCGACCCGGAGGCAGAACACAGTGGTCGGTGCCTCCTTGAGAACATATTTCATGTCGGCGAGCGTGTCCTGGCCGCCGTAGAATAGCGCGATCGGTGTTCTAATATTTTCTGTCGGGAACTTTGGGACAATATGGCCACGGAGTACTGAAATAGGAGCACTTGTCCTTCCCTGGCGGACAAAGACCTCGGGACTTTCGTCGTACATCTGGAAACGGCCCGTGCGCATGATCTGGAACCAGTGGACAACGCACTTGACGGAGGTGTAGGAGTAAAGGTGCTGGTAGGCGACTTCTTTGTGGTTGATGAAGGCCGATTTCCATCCAAACAGGAACCAGACACATTGGTCGATAAACGAGGCGTAGTACCTTGACGTCATCACCGACTGCCAGAAGACACATGAAGGAATCAGCGACTTTCGCCCAAAGAGCAGATAGATAATCTCGGGCGAGGTGTTGATGAAGGAGAATAGCGACCGATTGGTGAGTGCCGGGGGCTTGGTGACCGGGGCCAGTCCAATAAAGAGGTGGATGCACTGGTTGAGCTGAGGCGACATGGCGAGTGCCGCGAGCCCTTGGGCCGAGCCTTGGGAAAAGCCGATATAGGCCAGCGACGCTGCGCCTGTTTGAGATAATATGTACTTGGGCGACAGAAAGAAGCCGGCAGATACAGTCAGCATGCAGGCGCTGTCGTTCGAATCGCTTCTCCCGCCAGTTTGTGCACTTACCTTGACTGAGTTGGGCACATCGTAGCAAACCAGGTGATCGATAGAAAAGTCCCAGAATCGGCTCTCGGTGAACTTGAGGGTTGTGTGCTTGCACGAGTACTTGTTGCCTCTCGAGTTGCCCAGCCAGACGTCGAAGCCGGCGTCGGCAAGCACCATCGGCAGGCTCAGCGACCGATCCGGCAAACATACCCAAACCTCTGAGCACATCAGTAGCCCGTGCCAGAAGAGCACAACTGGGCGACGATCGGCGCCTTCGTCCCCATGGAGTTCCGGCCCTGGGCGCGGCTCGCCATCGAGAACGTCGACAGAGCCCAGCATGTCGCTCTGGCGCGATTCTCTGGATGGTCGAGGGATTCGATGGAGGGCGATGATATATCCATCATCGGTGGTGACATAGTGCGCCTCGAACGGATAGCCCCTTTGTTGGTCGATGTACCAAGCAGAGTTGTGGTAAGCCGACGCCGACGTCCGTGAATACGACCTGCCTCAGGCGATGGGCACAGCCAGCGGCCTACCAGTGGCGAACAAACTGCTCGGTGGTGCCGTTTTCGTTAAAGGGTCGCCGATCCGAGGGATATGGGATCTTGCTGTCCTTGGATTGATGGCCTGGATAACGCGATCGCCGTTCGGGGGCTGGCGAGTGCGTCGGCAGGATGCGGGCCAGGAGGCCGATGAGGACTTGGATCGGTAACAGCGGGACCACCAGTCGAACAAGCGGCTCGATGATCAGGAGGGAGAAGGCGAGGCACAGTCGCCCGTAGTCGCCCAGCGAGAGGCGGCCGAGGATAGGCACGCTTGAAAGCATATCGATCTCGAACTGTGAGGACGAGGCAGCTCGTGCAAAGTGATGCCGGACAAACGAGTTCTGGGGTCGGGTTGCCGCCTTTTTCTGAGTCTCGGACGCACGCCCATACTCCCGCAGGGTCAAGATAAGGTTGACGATCGTCACTCCATTGCACTGATCTACTGCTTTCCGATCCACCTTTGGTTCCATGGCGGTCTCTGAATTTGGTGCGTCCGAGTAGAGCCGATACAATAGTGATCCATCGATCCCATGCCAAATGAGCAAGGGATAAAGCCAATCGTGGGGACTGGACAGCGACCCAATGTCTCCGCCACGATCATATTTTATTCACAGTCTTGAGAACAGTATGCATTCAATTCCTTTGGACAGCTTCGTGCAAAGTGTGGCTTCTCGACGTCCAGAGAGTGGAGTTACAGTCAATCCAGAAGGAAACGGGACAGTCACTTTCTGGCATCGGCGACACATGACTGCTGAGCTTCCGTGGGCTCCAGGGAGCAAGCCGCGTGGTTGTTCCCGTCCTGGTTGGCAATCTCTTTGATTTCGTTGGTTTGGGAAGCATGATCTTGAATACACTCGGTCAATCTCCTGTGGCGACGATCGACTGACATTGATGCCTCGATGTGTGAGTGTGGTGCATCCGCTCGATGTGTGAGTGTGGTGGATGCATTCGACTCTCTGGACAGTTCCATGGTGTGTCGATATCAAGGTGCTCGGCCTTCCCGAGTCGCTTGGCTTCCTGGCAATGTGAGCACACCTGGTGATCGAGTCGCTTGAATTGCCGTCGCCGGGTCAGGCTAAAGTACAGCTGTTTGTCCAGTGCTCATCCATTGCTGCAGACCAAGGACCTTGTGGACACTCTGGATCCGCTTGGTCGCCTGGGAGGTGTCTTTCGCTTGCGGGGAGCCATCTGGGCGAGACAGCACCCTTGATTCAGATCCAGAAACGCATCACTGAATGGTCATGGCCAGCGCGCGAGTTGAGTGATAACATTCACCAACCACCAAAATCCGGGTGTCCCGTTTTTATTGGATTGGCTGTAAGCAACGGTAGCAGCGGTAACAACGGTGGTGACGAGTCCGTGACTTCTGATTGACGAGTCGTTTCATGTCAATTTTGACGAAGCGGCAATCCAGATGCTCAGCCGTTTCTGTTCGTTGTCCACTGCAGCCACGATCGGGCTTGGCTGGCACACGGCGGGATCGAACGCATGTAGATTCAGGCATCAGTCAACCACACTTCTGCCTCAATATCACCAGGCGATTGGACGGTATATTATCCTCACTCGGAAGCAGCACTGTCTAGACCCTTGAGTTTCTTGGCGGCTTCTCTGTATCCCGGCTCGATCGCTGCGGCTCCTTGGCTCTGGGCTTGCGCTGTGCATCGCCGCTGGTAAGTGGGAAGAAAGATCGATCAGAAACATATTACCTGAGTCGGGCTGAGGGCAGTTGTAGCTCACCCCGATGCATGCATCTAATACATAAACTGCAAGGCTGCTCGAAACGTGCCGTTTTACCAACCTCTGAAGCTCAGCCCGGGGATCAAACACTGCATAGTCATCAACTTTGGGCTCATAGACGTTGGCGGCCTCCCGTGCAAACTTTAGCTGATGGGCCATCCAACCAACATCATCGCCTTCGTCGTCATCGGCACTATAGCATGATTTGCAGTTTCGAAGCCCATGCAATCGGCACTCATCCTGCCGGCCGTTTTCATTGCGAGGAGAGGAAGCAGGTGCATCGGAATTGCGGAGCTTCAGCCGGAATGCCTCCAATGTCTTGAGCACATCGCCTTCATTGCCCTTCCGTCTGAGGCTACTGGTGCCTCCATACTGCGATCGAAAGGCATCGACAAAGGATGATCCTTTCTTGGAACTACCCTTGCTCAAGCCTTCGGAAGATTCTTTGGAACTGCCAATCCCGCGGATCTCCTTCGTGAGCTGGGTCAACTCGCTTTGAAGACTCATCCTGATATGCAACACGTGGAAATAATACAACATGTCCGATTAGCAGCAACTCGTTGGATAATCCTCTTTGCTTTGCCGTGCGTCTATGTTGGGCTGCAAGTCTCCATTCTGGATTACATTTTAGCCTTGGACCCAAAGGCGACTGGGGATCCGACAGAGCTTTCAGTTTTTGGACGCTTTGGCCGATGGCGGACGGCTTCGCTCTCTCCCTCGCTATCATAATCGGATGCGCTACTATGACCATCACTACTACCGGGACGGCGATTTGATGATTTGAGCTGATTGGCACGGGCAGGTGTCGCGACCGAGTGTTCTGTTCTTGCATCGGATAACTGGGGTGCCTTCAGCTCATCGGAACTGATGGCAGACTGAGGTCTCAAGCGCGGATCATCCGTGAGAGCATCGTGGCTACTAGTGACCTTTTTAAAACCGGGGCTGGCATCGGCCTGCACTTCTTCCTCTTCGCCGAAGGAGAGAAGCTTCAGATTCCTAAATGCCGTGGAAGTCACTGTGCAATTAGCGCCTGCTCTACATGCACCATGCGTCGAGCAAGGCCAAGTTAAAGATGGTGCTTGCCGTCTATTCTCGTATCTATCATCTTACTTTTTGACCTTGGGCTTTTTGATTTCCGTTCGTCGTTGCGCCTCCAGTCTCTCGGCAGCAAGTTTGGCGGCTTTTTCGGCTGCGGTAGTGCGAGGAATGATGTCGTCAAAGGGGTTCGAGAGTATCGATGTGGACCGAATGACGACGTCGTAGATTGGCCGCTCATCATCGTTGACCTCGGACTCGCCGATCTTGAGTAGGTTGTAAATGGTGTCGCCAACTACCTGTTGTAGGCGAGAGGGTTGTGAGTGTCGGTCGCAGGGCCGTTGATCAGGGTTCAGTAGCTCGAGCAGGCACGGGAAGAAATACCTTGCCAAAGATAGTGTTCTTCTTATTGAGCTCCTCAGTCTTGTCCAGAGTGAAGAAAAACTGGGTCTGATTTGTGTTTGGTCCGGTGTTGGCCTAGGTGTGCAAGATCATCAGCGGCATTAGGCAATTGGATCGGTTGATCTAGTGATCTGGTGATCTGGTGCGAGCCCCTCCACGAACTGTACATCTGCACCATTCATCATGGAGCAGCCCAGACCAACCATCAGCTACCAAGCCGTCTTCCACTCAAGAGTTACAAGCAAACGAAATACAATCCATATACCAATTCGGTGACAACCACACCTGATCCACGCAGGACTCACCATCGCCAGGAGACCTCGGTGACTGAATCTCAACCGGGAATGGAACTCATCTGGAAACTGGGTCAGATGAAGGGAGTGATAATCAGTGAAGGTACGAGCGATAGACGCTATACGATAAAGGAAGGTGAGCTGTCAAGCTTCTGTGTCTTACCGGCGATCCGTATATGGACTCTCCACCATTGCCCGTTCCTGCAAGCGATCAGATCTATCTTAATACGTGGAGGTGGGAGGGGAAATCCATGGAGCTTCTAGGATTATTTGCGATCATGGCGGCAAGAGCGGGTACCTGTAGGATCGCCTCCTTGGACAATAAAGTCCTTGACAACTCTGTGGATGATGGTGCCGTCGTAATAGCCCTCCATGCTGTCCAAGCTCAGGTTAGCTTGATGAAATGGTGGGACGTCTTATGATATTCGAGCAGGAATTCCAGTCGGACGGTGGCTTCTCTCTAACACCTCATAATCAGTCGTGGTTTGACATTTCGCTGAGTCCGCGCTCTATCCACCGTTCGGGTCGCTCACCATAGCTGAACAAAGTTTCGGCATGCCTTGGGCGTTTCTTTGGGCCACAACTACTCGCGATGATGGTGGTATGATATAAATCGACACGATCAGTGCGTCAGTGGCTATGGCGACGAGACACCGGATGAAGCGACGTTGAGCTTTGATGAAACCAATCCACAGGGAAACTTATAGGTTCGTCGAAAGCGGCTTTTGGTCCGAAGATCGCGAGACTTGTTACGGTGGACCTATCCTTACCTCGATCTCCAGATCGCCGGAGGATGTGTGAATGATGACCTGTGACGCAGAGTGGCGTAGTTCGTCAAAATCAGTTCCGCATTCCGGCTGAAACATCTATCTGGCAGATTTTGCAAATGGGTGCGGCCACCGACTGGCCACGGTCTGGTTGTTCAGCCGGCGTGCGAGGAGGTTGGTCAGGTTGCAAATGGCTGGCCAGCGACGGCAAAGCAGACCTTGCCCTTGGTCGGAGGCTCCGTGGCGTATGCGCTGCTCATATCTGTCTCGATGCAGCAGTATCGGATCGATCGATCGGTAGGAGCGGCGCTGCCTTGGCGAGTATGGCAGAGGGCTCTGGACGGCGCGAGATCGATGCAAGCACGAAGCCGGCAGGATCGGTGGGCCGCCAGGACAGAACCAGACCCGCGAGCCGATGCACTGCGCGCCGGTTCTTCCTCCCTCTCATCTCCCTTCGCTGCATCGACGGCCCAGACGATCCAGCCCGACGGATATCCCCCCATCCGCTGAAACGAGTGGCGCTCCCACCCGCCAAACCCTGTGCAAGACCCCGTGCATATCGCCGTTCCAGCATGGCCCCGTCTCTCAGCGACCGGAGTAGCGCTCTGCTCGTTGCAACGGCCGTCGTCTTGGCCGCATCTTCGTCGCTCTTCCGGGTGTGGAACTCGGTCCTGTCCTCAAACTACATGGATGAGATCTTTCATGTCCCCCAGGCGCAGTCCTATTGTCGCGGTCGTTTCTTGGAGTACGATCCCAAGCTGACGACTCCTCCCGGACTGTAAGTGTGTCCTGATTTCCGTCGTCCTTGGATCTGCCGTTTTGCAGCCAGCCTTCCCCGCACCAGCATCGTCTCGGCCGGCTCTGCGAGGACGTGGCTGCAAACCTCTTGCTCTTCGTGGTCTTTGGTTTTGCAATCGCACCACCCGGCCGTATCTAATCTGTTGCTCCCTTGACACCGGACCCCAGGTATGCGATTTCGTTCGTGGTTCTCAAGGCCGTTTCGGTGTTCAAGTCCGGGGTGTCATCTGTGGCTCATCCCATCGAGGACTCCCTTTGCTCGACGAGCACCCTTCGCTCCGTCAACCTTGTTTTCTCGGTCGTATTGATTCCAGTATTGAAGGGCTTGCTGGATAGCATCCATGGAAGACACCGCATCAATACTGCCGGCGCCATCGCAATCGCACTGTTCCCGGTGGCTTTCTTCTTCAACTTCATGTACTATACCGACACTGGATCGACGCTCTTCGTGCTGCTGTCGCTCCTCTATGCCCTACGCAAGAAAACAATCGCCAGTGCAGCGGTAAGCTCTTGTCATGTCCTCAATCCAGACTTTGATGCACAGCTATGCATGACTACTTGCGACCGGCACCTCTTCAAGATGAGTGGTTCAGGCGCGGTAGACGAACGGGCACATATGCGGGGAATAGAGAAAACGGACGCATATGTCAAATGAACATATATGAGGAATACGCCCTTCGATCATTCCGGGCCCCTCGGAAAGGAATGAAGGTCTCCGCGCTCCAAAGTTTCTCGGCGAGACTGACTTACCATCGCTGTTTTTAGGCCAGCTTGATTGCATGTACCTTTCGGCAGACAAACATCGTTTGGATGATGTTCATCCTGGCTCAAGTCGTCCGATCTCTTCTTGCTGAGAAAGCCGACGCGACCACAAGGGCGCAGGTTCTTGATGTCAGGATTCACGAGCTAAAGACCGTCGGTGAGCGCAGATGTGGCCCCTGATGCCGTTTTTGAGTTTGGCTCCTTGGATGGTATGATATTTCATTATATGGCGAACTAATGTGGGGCTGCTGTACATTGCAGGCTCGGCTGTATTGTTCTTGCGTCGTCTCTTTGCTCTGGCCACGGCGAATCTAGGCTATATTCTCCTCCGAACCTGGCCTTATCTTGTTGTGCTCAAGCTGTTCGTTGCTTTCCTGGTCTGGAATGGAGGGATTGCCCTGGGCGACAAGGATCACCACATCATGAGCATTCACGTTCCTCAACTCTACTACTTTTGCGGCTTCACGCTGTTCTTCTCCCTTGCAACATCAAGAGTCTTGCAGCGCATCCAAACCATTCCCAGGTTCATCAATATCTGGTAATTGCTGCTGCTTCTTTCTAAAATGCTTGCGCCATAATCCGATCCCTACATCACATGCAGTCCCAAGAGCGGTGGTGGCTCTCAAGGGTGTAACGCTCTTCCATACTCTCATCACAGGTCCCTTTTCTGGATCGGCGTCGGTGTTGTAGTGATGGCCTGGACTATTCAAAAGTTCACGTAAGATTCAATATGTCGAGAGCAAGTCGTGGTTCTTGGGCACGGCGCGTTGGTGGGATGGCCACGAGATCGCTGCTGATTAAGTACTTTCTCTGTCAAATCAACGGAATTTAGGATTGAGCACCCCTTCCTCTTGGCAGACAACCGCCACCTTACATTCTACGTCTGGAAGAACATTTACAGGCTCCACCCTCAAGTGCGGTATCTCCTAATACCGGCATACCTGTTTTCGGGCGGTGTTGTACTTGGAAACTTGGGTAAGCACTTTTATTGTGTAAAGAACTTTGGGACAAATAGTATATGTTGGCTCTGCCATGGCCAAGCGACGGTTTGCTTGCGCGAGCTTCCCAATGTCTGCATATATGGGCTCTACTGACGCCCATCGACGTCCGGCTCGGCTCTGACGATCGGATTCAATCCTGTAGCCCAACGACAGTCAACTATATGCGTTCTGGCGTTTTCTGTGGCTGTCGCAATCACGCTGATCCCGTCTCCTCTCCTCGAGTTCCGCTACTTTATCATTCCCTTCATCCTATATCGGCTTCATATTGAGAGACCGTCCCGACCAGCCCTGATAGCCGAGGTGCTCATGGCCGGACTGATCAACCTGGCAACCATTGCTCTTTTCTTGGGATATACGTTTGAGTGGCCGAGCGAGCCTGGTGTCAAGCAGCGATTCATGTGGTAGAGACGCTCGAGATCTGAAATATAGACGCAGATGCGGAAAGAATCGAGGGATGCACATCATCATTGGAGCCGCGACGGAACTGAGACATGGCGATCCGTAGACCGCACGATCGTCGGTCGTGCGATTGGTACAATTTATTCAGAAAAAAACGGGACAATATAGCCGTTTCCATGAACATGTAGTATGTGCTGTGCTTGCGTCAAGCAAAGCCACAAGAAATAAAACAGATCACTTTGGCAGCCTCCGAGTGAAGACCGCCGGTCGCTCTCCGATCTCCACAATCGACTTGCACACTGCGATCATGTTGCGCGCCGCATTGACGTCGCGATTCCACACTGTCCGGCAGCTGGGATTCTTGCAGCTCCTGACAAAGTGGGAATTCGCAACACTGGGCGCATCGAGTCCTTCCAACCGAACTGGCTCCAGGCACTTGGAGCACACTTGCGAGGTGTTGAACTCGTTCGTCGAGACTACCTTGACGCTTCCATGATGGTGATTGGGACGGCGTCGGTGGTGCTCGAATTGCTCAAAGTACTGAGCAAACCGCTGCCTCCTCGGGCTGGATGCATATCCCTTGCCCTGCCGCCATGACGCATTGCCAAAGGCGATCACCACATCAGTCCGTATCGGGGCGTGCTTCAGGACGGCCTTGCACATCTTGTCGACGGCCACTTGGCGCCTCTTGTGGCCCGTGAAGCGATGGTGACGGGCCTTCTTGCCAAGGTGGAAATCGAGCTGCACTCGCAGCTCCGGTCGCAGGACATGGGTGAGATGGACCTTGAAAGCCTCCGAGAACGACACCTTGGGCGAGGGGGTGGTCGACATCCAGGTCTCGATGCTGAGTCGATACTTCATGATATTGTGCCACTTGGTGTTGGACTTGTGGCCACACATTTGCTGGTAGTGGCCATTCGAGAATGAGACCACCTCGTCTTGGTGACCCGGTGCTTGGATGACCGCCGTGAAGATGGAGCCGACTCCAGGATCGATGCCAATCCAAGTGGTGCGATCGGGGTCTGGGTTGCCAATGTGGGCCTGGATACGCTGCTCGGCAGACGGAGGAGGCTCGATGGTCTCGGTGCGATCGGTTCGACGCACAAACTTGACGAGACCGATGGTGCATCCAATGCCATCGGTGCTGATCTCGTAGTTGAACAGCTTGTGATTGATATCCCGGTCACGGAAGAGGGAACTACGCAGCTTGAAGCAACTGCGCCAGAGACGATCCTGGTTGTTGACACCGTCCTCACCTTCTTCCTTGAGCATGTCCCTGGTGAGTCCAAGGCGCTTCTTTGGACCAAGGAGCTCCCAGAGAGTGACCGTGTCAATCTTGACATACTTGGCCTTTGTAGTGCATAGAGGGACCATCGTGCACACGGCCGGAGGAGTGTCGACGGCGAGCTGCTTGAGTGCCCACTTGATCCTGGATGCCAGCTTGTTGATCTTGGACTTGGTGGTGCCGAGCTCAGACTTGGCCTTGGTGAACCTCTTGTCGTCGGAGGGAATGCCTTGGGTAGTGAGCTCGTCCAGCTTGGCCTGGCGCTGCAGCTCGGTGACTCGGAGGGCGGGCATGTCACAGTCGATCCACTTGTGGACATCGTCCTGCATCTTGTCTCGGGCGAGGATTCCCACATGGTGTGAGAGGCGGTGGAGGGCCCGGAAGCGGTCCTGGTCGTTGCTGTACCGAAACTCGTCCAGGACGTGGCCAAAGTCTGGATAGAGGAACTCGAGATCGGCCTTGGGTGGAGTCTGCCCTGGTTTCTCGAAGAGCTCGAGACAGGCCTCGATGGCTTCGTGCTTGTGCTTGTTGGCTGGGAATACAGCAGCACAGAAGCGGCGAAGGAGTCGCCAGTAGGCCAGGTCGAGGTGGGTGGTGCAGTTGGTGGCATAGGCATTGACAGCCAGTGTGAGAAGCTGACTGTGAGCACCATCAGGCAGACGAGGGGCCGGAGGCAGGTCTGCGTGCCGAGTGGACTGGTAGATGCCAAAGGAAGCGACCAACTGCTTGTTGTATTTCTCATTGTCCCCGGTCGGCGAGAGGGCATCGGCCTGGACGATCTTGAAGCATTGGCGGATGAAAGCAGGGGTGGACTTGGAGATGACGGGGACGGGAAGATCCTGCTCGATGCACCGGAGGATGTGCAGGTTGAGCAGCCTGGATGCCTCGAACTGGATCTGGGTCATGGCCTCGACGGTGGCCTGGATCTTGTCGCGGAGAGCGGGATTGAGACAACAGCCATCCATCGTCTGCTTGAAGCAGCTGTATTGAGGGGCGGATGACCTTCCATCCACGAGTGGGACGACAGAACTCTTGAGGGGCCGGTAGTTGGGACACTTGTTGGTGTTGCAACGTTCGTGATCGGTGCCATCGCACTTGGGACATCGCTTGCCGGTACTCGAGGAAGTAGATGGACCAGGCTCGGTGGGATCGACATCCATTGGATCTGCAGAAGCAGTGGTGGTGAGCGACGGAGCAACAGACGAACAAGCATGCGTGGGATCAGAATACGAACCAGAGACAGGCTCCGACTGTGACTTGGCTTTCTTGGGCCTGGGTGGCCGAGGCTGGCCATCACCGGTACCCTTGCGCTTCGGAGGCATGGGGGCAGAGGATGCTGGATGCCTGCCAGTGGTACTGGTCAGAGCAGAGACTTTCTTTATCGTACAATAGCGCGATGATCCGATCAAGGCGAGATGAGGGAAGAAAGCAGCAGGACGAAGGTGTGGCATTTATACCCGAGAGCAGGAGCCCGTCTGCGCGGGCTGGTTGGGGAAGTGACCCTGTTCAAAAATCGCCGAGAGGTTCAAGCCAGGGATGTGAACGCGAAAATGGCGGCGTGATTGGGGAGCTCAACCCCAAATTGGAGGAGCTCAACCCCAAATCGGTGGGGACTCAACCCCAAAGAAGTTCTCGATGGGATTGAAGTCGGGCGAGGCAGGTGGGGTGAAGATCACTGACCATCCTCGGCGCTCGATGCAGTCCAGGACAGCCCTTGTCTTGTGCATGCTGACATTGTCCATCACAATCACAGAGTCGTCTGGGAAGGTCGCTCGCTCAAAGAACTCGACCATCGAGTGTGTCTTGAATGATGTGGGGATGTACATGCGATGCAGCACACCAGAGTGGTTGATGGCAAATGCAGCCGAGACGGACTTGTGTTTCATGTGATTGCACTGGCGAAGCGGAGCACCCTTCGGTGAGTATCCGTAAAGAGGGAAAATGGATCTCCTGATCCCCGTCTCATCGACAAAAACGAATCGTCGTGGGTCGATGGAGCGGACCTGGTCCCTGAACTGTGCCACTCGCTCATCCAGTCGCTTGGACTTGTAGAGGTGTGTTGCCCTCTTGTGTGAGAGACCTGCTCGGTGGATGGCAGTGTGGCAGAGTGAGAGTGATACTTTCCTCTGGAGGATGGACTCGAGCTTGCACCGCAACACAGGACCAGTCTGGAACGGATCCTGTTCAATCAGGGTGCGAATGACTGGACATGCCTGCTCGAAGAAAGTGGATCTGCGAGCTGGGACCCGGGATGGGTCATCCAGCTTGCATCCTCGGTGCCATCGATGGATGGTGCTCTTGGATACACTGAATATGGAGGCAACCTTACGCAGGCTATGGATGAGGGCGTAGTATCGCAATGCGGCGGTGTGAAAGTCGGATGTGTGGCGAATGGTCATGGCCAGCGCGCGATAACATTGGGTAACAAAATATTCGATGAATGGTCAAAATCCCGGGTGTCCCGTTTTTTATTGGATTGCCTGTAATCGGGAAATCCCTCCGCAATGAGGGCGGGAACAGGGCTTGTCAACTTCCGCGCCCTGGGACTTGCTCCTTGCTCATCACCCTTTCCTACAATCGCCACCGATGCTCCTGCCAACGTTCTCCGTAACCCTTCCGAACGCCATCTATCGATACGCAGCGATCGGCCGGTGTAGGTACTTGATCTGTGTCATCGACCGCGGCCGTCATTCGGACTTGCGGCGTGAAAGCAAGCGGCCTCGCCGGCTTTGGGCCAGTGCTTCATGATCGACCGCGCGTGGGCGGACGACTTGCGAATGGCGTCTAACGATCGGTTGTGCCGCATATCACCCTGCGCCGGTAAAGTTGATGGTGCACACTCAACGCTATGCTATGCAAGCTCGTCGCACCAGCTCTGTTTTTTCAACCTCGGGTCCGCCACGTCTGTGGCAACCTTTGGGGCCAGCGAGATCGCCATCCGCCCGAGCCATACGTGGACTCTGCAGGATGGTCGTGAAGGAACCCTGGATCTTGCAAGCGAATGTATTGGCTTGGTGGCTGCACCAGACCCACGGGATCAAAGCAGTCCCACTAGTTCTCGTCGCGACATACTTGTGATTGCTACCCGGACATCGTTGTGGATGTAAGCACATGGAGTTTGAGTCGCTAGTAAAGTGGCGATCCAAAGCGCAGCCTGAACGATGGAAGTGGCCGTTGGACAATGGGTTGCCGGGCAGCCTGACATCGGATCCAAATATCGATTTCATATGATCTTCAAAGTTGGGAGGATACCGGGTCGTGCGCGCTGAGGCTCGTTCTCGATAGTAAGCATCTGGTGAAAGCTCTCGATCGAAATGCCGGAACTCACACCTGACACATTTTTCAGATATGATATACATGAAAATCGAGATGTTAGCTTCCGGGACTTGAACACAGGAAGTCGACATCTTTCAGTATCTCTTCATCAGTCCAAGCACTCCCATTGCTTTTTTGTCAGTGGCGAGTGTGGAGTAGAGGTAACATCGGCATTATCGATGTATGGCAGCTGGCCGTAATTTGCTGCGGCTCCCGACTGTTTACCGCAACATTCAAGCCACTGCAGCATGCTCCGAAAGCACTTGTAAAACCGAACAATCCTCCTCTCTGGCTCCAATGACGCAATTGCGCAATGACCCAATGACGCCATGGCCCAATGGCCGAATCTGGATGTCTCATCCGTATTGCATCGTCTCATGATGCAACAAGGCGTTTGATGCACTTGGGCAACCTGCTCACGATATGTCGATTTCAATCGAAAATGCAACATGTTCTCTCCCGTTCAACGTAAGCCGTGTTAGACCTCAACTTTGATAGGGCATTATTCGATGTGTGACGACAGCTTCGTCGAAAGTCTTTCGATTATTGTGGGCCTGGGAGTTTAACTCCTTCGTTGTCTGCGCATAAAGGAAATGCCACTGACTCACCTTCGATGTTGCTGCTGCAGCATCATGAGTTGATTGTCGGTGTACAGGTAATTTGTCTCGTCAAAGAGACAATTGGCCACCAACTTGTTGCACCAAGCGTCCACATTTCCCTCATCAATGCTAGTCAGAGGCATGGACCACAGTGAACTCAAGCTCACTAGCGCTGTTTGCGAACAGGACATTGGTATCAAGTTTTTCCGAAGGAGGGAGTGCGTTCATACAATCCATGAGGCTGAGTCCATCTCTCATTTATGCCCACTAGCCAAGAACACATTCGGGTATCGTGCAACCTCGGTTTCGACATGTTGTTATTATGCACACCCGGCTCTATACATGGCTTTGTTTCGGAGCTGGGAGCAGCGCATAGTTTGCTCAAGCGCTACAACAATGGATGGTCTACCCACGCATCATAACTGATATATGCACTTAAACCGCCTAGGTACGCTCAAATCACCGGGTATGTTGGCGTTTACATCGGTACGCGTCGTGCATGGAGGTTCAAGTCCAAGTTCGAGGTCGTATCCCTGGCAAGGTAAGTCAAGATGGCAGATCGCAGTATTCTTCGCTCATATATCAGCGGAGTTGGCGAGTAGAGCTGCGCATCAATTGCCCCACGGCGCAATGGCCAACCACACGAAGGACTGCGCCTCGAGACGGAGTCATTGACAGAGCCTGTGTGAATATCCCGCGCACGCGGTTCTGTATTCTTCAACATCTTGTTCGACATCTTTTTCAACCCGTCCAATCAGCTATGACGTTGACGACGATAAAATACTGGAGCTCGTAGTAGCATTTGCATCGGGGCATGTGGAGGCCCGCAAGCTGGACACGGGAGCTGTGATCTGGTCCATCGAGGTCCAATATTCAGTGGCATGTCTGCTCAGCGGAGACATTCGGGGCGATGGAAAAACTTGCTTGCTCATCTGCCTCAGCAATGGAGAGGGTTAGTAGCGTGGTATAATGCTCCATCATGCTGCTGGCTCGCTTGGGCTGATGTGCTGGGCTCCGATTCTGAATTCAATGTGATAGCTGATGGCTCTTCTTCCTCGCGGCTCCGATGGTGCTGGGCGAGAGATTTCGCCCAAGCATCTCCGAGTCAAACATCGTCACTTGCTTGGTCAAGTACACACAAATCTCACTAACATCACTCTGTATCACAACCCGGTACTAGTGAAAGGATTCATTTCGGCCGAAGAAGAACTGAAAACGGCTCTATCCAAGAGCACTGATGAGGACGATTTGATCCAGCAGCTCCGGAAAAACAGACAAAAGGTGGAGACCCATTATATCTGAAGTTACCGGGCAAAAATGTGTACTTTATCTATCCGTTTACAGTTGCGGGTCGTGTTTCATCAGATGGGCTTTTAATATCGCCCGAAAGCAGGAGCACGCGTCTTTGGTTGCATCAATCGCCGCTGACCCAAATATCCACCATTTTCAGAATACAGAGGAGGCGCCATATGATAATACTGCCGCCCTTGCTGATCATCGTTTGCGAGGCCATGACGCTGGTTTTCAGCTCAAGAACACAAGCGATATGGATACACCCGGTACCGCTGCTCGCATGCCGCCGGAATCGACTGTCGAGGTCCCTCTCAAAAAACGAAAAATCAAGAAGAAAAGACTTTATTCTAAAGATACCGGCTCACAAGACATTGGCGATGACGCTTTCTTGCAGCAGTTTACTCAAGACGCTGTTATAAGCAGAGGCACAGTCGATTTCACCGATGATCAAGCCGGAGACTGGGACGGTGGCTATATCAACCCAAGTCTCGAAGAAGATCTTCTCACTGAATACAACAATATGACGATTCGTGCACCACGGATGCCGAGCATTGCTTTGATGCCCTTCGATTCACCGAGAGTGTCGCAAAGTGACCAATCCGGCACAAATATCGATGACTCAGAAGCACGGACATCGATTCCCAGCGCCTCTGCTCAGCCAACGACTCCACATCCTGATCAAGCCACTCAGGACACAAGCGAAGCCGACAAAGATTTCACTCTGAGAGGATCGACAGTCCAGCAAATGCATCAATTTGACCGAGGAAATGTAATTGAAGTACAAGAGGCAGAAGCAGAGGAGGTGAAAGTAGTGGCTCATGCCGCCGAGTATCAGATTACATCACAAGCCCTCGATGCTACTGCTCGTAACTGTCTGCCTCAAGATAAGGATCCAAGAACATCAACATTCCCGGGGACTCGCGACATCGGGGAGACGGATCCCCAGGAAGTTTCCGCTTTTCTCAGCGTCGACTGCGCGCGTGGTGTCTTGCTGACGATCCGGGCCATCGATCCCCTTGGTATCTTTGCAGTGGTCGTAGCGGCCCCTTATGGAGTCCTTGTTTCCGGCGAAATTGTTATGTAAGTTTTTTGGATTGATCCGATTGCTCTGGACATTGGCTGTGGCATGGCATCAATGTCTCGAGTTGACAGGAAATGTACATATTCTCACCAAGTTGGTCTCGAATCCATCCTCGCGAATACCCGCCAGACACCCCAAGGACACGGCTGTGCGCCAGAACACCATTCAAGCCCCAATTGTCCTCGAGAGGGACATCGGTGGCAGGCTAGACATTACCACGATTGTCGGCCCTCGATCTGGGCAAGTGTACAAAGTCGCTGTGACCAGCACTGGTCATTGGGACAGAGCAGTCCTTGTTCTGAATGCGCGGCAGGCCGGACTGTTCGATCGAGGGAGCTACACTGATTCATGCCGTTCGTGAAATAGGGCCGTCGAGGAACTGCGTATCGTGGAGTCATCTGTGGAGCTCCCGATCTTCTCTGCATACGCGGCCTATAGCGACGACAGCTGCAAACAGCCGATTCAGGGTCGCCTTCTTCTCGACGTTCCCGGATTATCGTCTTCGGTAAAATGGAAATATGGGGTCCAATAGCATTGTTCATCGAACCTCGAGTCAATGGTGCATGCCTTGCTTGACCACACCAAACCATCGTCGCCAAAGTATTTGTGGCGAGGTGAGGTGGCCTCTTGGTATCGCTATCGTCTCAAATTTGCTAACGTTTCTGATTGCGACTAGGTTTGCCGCTGGATTCAAACCTCCTTTCTTGTACAAGAAGCCATGAACCATACGCGCGACTCGAAATCAATCGAATTTAAGGCGATTGATATTAGGAACAACAGGCCCATCTGCATTGAGTATGTGAACGAAAGGGTGAGTGTATTTACATTGACGGCTGGCTTTCGGAGAGCGTTGTATTACTGTGCCAAGTGGAACCTTCACCACAAGCCAATAATCTCCATATCCACTTTCACTCTCCCAATACAGCTCTCAATCCGATCGGATGATATCAATATCGTTGGGGCTTTGATCCAGAATCTCGTCAGTTTTACTGGATTGCGGGAGGGTCGGTCAACGGTGACATTTCCGAGCGACATTGAGGAGCTGAAGCAAATCATTGAAGCAATCGAATCAATGGATGAGTCCAAAATTCGGGGGTTCACCGAGGTAGCCGACTTGGCAGACCAGGCGAAGCAATTGCTCCTCAGGGCCGAGGATCAACGACAACTCAGGTTTTGGTACGGCTTTTGTGGCTCCGCTTTGATTGTCCACAATTCAGCTGGGTTTTGCAATATTAACCTTAGTGAGCGCTCCAGGGACTCGTCTCGTGGGCTCCACGCTGAGGCTTATGGCCTCAGTCAAGATCTGCTTCGCGAATACAAAAAAAGAGCAGAGGTCTCCAAAGCTAGAGCACTACTCTCAAAGCGTCTCCACGCTGCTATCGAACGGTTCTCGAATTTGCGTGGTGAGTGTACGACTTTCATATCGGCAAATACAATCTATATATGCAAATGGAATGAATGAAGGGGCTTGCACAGTATGGCTTGTGATGCCTGTGGTTAACGTGCTCCTGGCGTATTCTCCTCGGTGCTTCTACTCAGTCGGTTTGGTTCGATCGAAATGGACTCAAGCAGCAGAGGAGCATCTCCGGCTCCGTGAGCTGTCGCACATAGCTCGAATTTGTGCATTTGGCATATCTGAATGAATCCGTGTGCTCCGCTGCACCTGCACGTTGTTTGGGGCGGAGGTGCCTGAGAGTTTATCATCGACGATAACACTCGATAAATAATAGCATCCACAGAGGCAAATGACCGTTGCTATTGATCTGTACCATCGATTTCGATGCGATTATCTCGCGGAAGTCGAGTCGCTCGAGTGATTCGAGCAACTACAAACCCGGACCCGAGGCGTATGCTTCGCCTTATCGCCACAAAAAGGATGAAGCTGTTTGGCACGTGACGGCATGGGTATATTCAATGCTTAGAACCGGCGTTGGATATAGAGACAGGATTTATTGTGCCATCGTTAAAGCCTTGGTACTGTTCTTGTGGACGACAGCTTCAATCCTCCACAAGTGCGAGCACGAACACGACATCCACGCCGGTGTACAATCAGTTTTACGGCTCGTCAGCGAGGGAATCTTATGCCACAATTTCCGAGACTGTTGTCTCGCCATTTGCTGTCAATGACTGGTCCGCTCCCGGCAAATACTGTGCAGCCTCTGCAAAGTGGTCGGTTGGCAGCGGAGGTTCGGCCACGTCTCGAGCGCTTGGACGATCGTCTTCCGGGTGCTCTGTACCACGGTCATTACTCCCAGAGGCAGCTGGATCTCCAGGGACCTGTGAATCGGATTCAAATGTTATGCCCTTCTTTGGGACCTTTGGAAGTTTCTGCATAGAACGATGTTCATTGCAATATCAATTAGTGATCCATCAAAGACATTCGGGGTCGCATGTACAAGTCGATGGACAAAATCAAAGTGACCAACGAAAGCGCTAGAGTCAAGCGGCGATGGCGAACCCTCTACCTCAATGCCTTCGGACAAAGGCTTGCCCTGGTGTTGTTTTGATTGATCCCTGTTCTCCTTAATATGTGGCAACTCGACGTCTCGCTTGCCCTTCGAGTTGCGATCCGCACGGCTGTTGTTGTCATGGGTATGCTGATTCTGTTTGATGTGAGGCAGTTTCTGTCGCGTGCCTTTGTTTGTCGCAGGAGCTTCTTTCGAGTGCACGAGCTCATGGTGCTTGGCAGAGTCAGATCCATGCTGAACCTGGGGCAAGCCAGTAATCTGGTCGTTTGCGAGCTTCCTGCTGAGTTCTCTTTCTCTCTCCATGGCTTCAGTGCGGGGATTGTGCTGGTGAATGTGTATACGGTTGCTGGTATCATAAGACTCTGCAATTTGATCCTGAGTGCAGGGTGGAATAGCAACGTTAGCTTCCCACAGTAATGGCTCGCATCAACGGCGATGTCGGTGGAGCCGCCGACTTGCAGTCGACATCGCCGGTGATCCACTTGAGCCGAGCATACCCTGAATTTCTTTCGGTACAGTTCCTTGAGGATCTGCAGCTCGTCAAGAACCTTGGCCCGCAGCTGATCAAGAGTGATATGGGCTGCTTGGCTGGTTCGAGCGGCTGGCGGACCACCTGCAGCTGCAGGAAGCAAAAGCTTCGAGGAGTGCTTTTGATACGACAACTGTCTTGAGCCCTCCACAAGCCGTGATACCTGAGGGCCCAAAATGCAAATCACAGGTAAAGATTTAGTCCAGGTCGTAGGCAAGCAAGTCGAAAGTGCCGCAGAAGACATCCTGCTCGTCCTATGGAGACGTTGGCTATCATCGATGCACAAACACATCGCCATCTAGACTACATGGCTCAGAGCGATGCCTACACAGTCGTCGCAGGTAAATGTTCCGTAGTTTTTCCGGTATGTTGGCGATGCCACGAATCGAAGGGCATTGCATAACAACACCAGACCACCTAACGATAATATGGTTAATACGACTGCCCCTGAGCCACCGCTCCTGATAGGAACGACACTCCTGCATACTGACACCGAGTGGCTGTATCCTTACTCTGAACAACGGAATCCTTTCCACCCTGCTCGGAACGCTGAGAGTCTGGTCCCTCTGTTGCCTCGGCGTGTTTTGAATTCTCTGCCGGGCTTGCTCCAATTTTTGGCACGCAGTTTAGCGAAACAATTCGACCTCTTTCCACATGAGGATGGTCGTCCAGAACAACAGCGAGTGGTTGACCATTCGACCACCTGTCCAATGAGCATTACATCGTGTGTTTAGATTCCGCAACGCAGTCAAAGCGAGCGACGGGTGCATGCCAAACGAATCCAAATGGTGGTCCGTTTCGAACATTCCATCATCCAGATATGTGCCGCGTGACAAATCCAGATGACTCATAAACCATGAAACAAAGATGATGGTCGAGCGACAGCGTGATAGAGCAAACAAGAGTCTGTATCTCCTAGGAACAGCAAAGTACCGTTGGCGGCTGTGTCTATCTCGGCATTCCATCCCCGCTGACTTGGGGATAAACCTCAGCCCACTCACCGAGCAATTGTTGTCCCTCCAGCTTCGTTGAGGGCACCAGTTGTGTAAAATGCGTGGTCGCCGCCAGCAAACTCATTGATTTCAGATAGCAGTGGATGGCCAGATCGCTCGACTTTGCCGAGCATTAGATTCGACGCCAATCTTGGGCGGCCAGGAAGCAGCGGGTTCAGTTTGTGTTTCCTCCATCGCCCGCCGAGGGCCCACTTGTGACTGATGGCCACCAGGACAACTCCACCGCCGGGCTTGCCGTAGTCTCCTTTCGGCCCTCCTTGGACATACTCGGCCAGGAGGTCCCCGAAGCTGTCGGGCTCTGGCCACGGCTTGCCGCTGTTTCCCCACACCAGAATCGAATGATATCGCACGAGAACCTCGGCATTTGGGCGAGACTTGCGGTAGTCGATTTCATCGACCCTGGAAAAGAAACCGGTGCCCATAAGAGCTTGTTGGAGGGCTCCACAAATATCGGCCGAGACCGCAGAGTGGATGACAAGGACTCGCACGTCCTTCACCGAGAGCGGCTTTGCCGGGAGGCAGTTCACATGGTAGAATTCGTTGCAGCACCGACAGATCTTGACTGGGCCGCCTCGGGTTCCGCAGAGGTTGCAGACAGCGCTCGCAGCAAACTAGGGTGTATCGAGCGCATAAATCAGTTGGCAGGGACATAGTTGAGGTAGGAGATACAGATAAAAGACGGCACAGACATGGAAATAGCGGATGCTGGATGCATTTGGGTGGCAGCACAACCAACAGAGCTACCGAAATGCAGCGGCACTGGTACATAATATATTGTGGGAGGGTCAAGTGCGGCAGATCCGGGACAAAGCAACATCAATTCATGGTACAGTACCCATCCGTTCTTCATCAGGTGGCGTTGGACAGAGGGCCGTGAGAAAAACTCTTCCAGAGCTGGGTCGTTGAGCGAGTCGTAAATGATAGGCGATCCCATCGCCTTGGTCTTTGTGAACATGCGTCGTCGCCGGACATTGATCCTGTCGGTGGCAGCACATGTCGTGCCCAAGAACAACGGCTCAGAAAGCAATTCAACAACAACCCACACCCCTCATCCACGCTTGTCATCAAAGCCAAACGGCGACGTACTTGGAGGGCTCCGGGCGACCTTCCGTTGGACCAAGCGCTCTTGCTACATGCTGAATCTTGGTTGTTATTCTCTCTGTCGAGCGGATTTCATTCTGTACCGGGTCCAAAGCGTTTGCCATCGTCGATCAACACTCGTAAAGCGATGTAAAATGGGCACTCTCGACCTGGGCGACTGAAACTATCCCTCAAATGATGAGCTGATGATATGGTTAAGAACGAGGCGATATGCGTAGTGACTGAGTTTGGCGCCGGGTTTGGTGCTGGCCTCGCCGCCTGAGCGGCAAGCCTGGTGAGGTCATTCTTTTATTGTGTGCATTCAGCCTCAGAGCGAGCGTGCGAGAGTTGCTTGCGGCCTTCTGATGTAATCAGTGTTGCTGCGAATCAGCCGATCAGGTATTGGCCCATTGTTCTCTGCATTTCCATTCACACTACGGAAGAGCGGCGTAGTACGAGACGGTTGGTTTCGCTGAGGAGGGGCATCATTCGTATGTGGATACATCGTGCGATGCACAGGGCGGCAGCTCCACAATGCACCTCGCAGAGCCAAGGAGTGCGGGTCGTCTGCGGCTCCTCGGGTGTTCTGAGCAGCCCCATCGTCACCAGGTGAAGGACAGCAAGAATGGGTTCATCAGGACGACCCTGTCAAGGTCTACCGCTCGCATGTACCCTCGCAATGTTGTGGAGTTATTAACTGTACAGCATGTTGAACAAAAAATGGGACACATCGTTTCGTTCGGGCAAACACGGCGTAGCGCACAAGTTCACTATCGCCCATGGAATTCGATCAGTATCCGGGACATACTTTCCACTATGAGTTTACGATGAACGATTGGCGGTGGCAGCAGAAACGAAGACGGTCCGATGTGACCGTCGCCGGCGAGCGCCATTCGCACGCGATATATTGAATACTGCATGATTCTTGGGTGCCTTACGCACGTGGGTTGACCCAGAGGGTTTGGTTTGATGCCAAAGATGTTATCAGTCGGACTGCGCTGGGGTCGGGCAATCGTGTCGTCCGCCAACGACACGATGTACGCAGTGACGAGAGCACACGTCATGTTTCACTGTGTGATCGTTGTAAACTCGGCAGGATCGAGACCAGCCTCCTGTAAAATCTCTTTGAAACTCAAAGGGTGTGGTCGTTCGTGTGTGGGAGGTTCCGATCGAGCGCCCTGGTGACGAGGAAAGCTCTCAAAGAGGCACCTCCGATTGTCTAAGCGACTGTCGATTTCCCTCAGTTTCTCCCGGTACTCGTGGTGCCTTTGACGCTGATCTAGAGACAATTAGAATGAAGTTATTGGAAGCGCAGGGCCGAGCGATATAACTGCTCGATTTATCCTCCGGATAGCCACGATGCATTAGATTCACTGAAGGCAGGGTCGCTGTGCCGGCTATGCCCTGCTGAAAGCGACGAAATTATGGGCGGCTGACGTACCTCGCTGGAATTGCTCGATTCTGCTTTGCTCTCGCTGAGCCGTATTGGTTTTTTCAGTCTGAAGACGAGTACTGATTTTTCCTCGAAGCTCTCTCAGCCGACGACGCTTTGCTTCCTCCTCCTGCTTTGCACGGAGCTCGCCCTGCACTCTTCGATCGAGCTGCTGTCGCACACATTCCTTTTTAAGTGCCGAGGTGTGGGTTTCCCGAGCGACAGGGAATTTTGTTGGCTGGTTGGTCGATTGAGTGCATCGTAACGACAAGCCCGTCGGATGCGATTGGTTGGGTTGGTTGGGTTGGTTCGGCGTGGTGAGATCCAGAAATCAGGTCACAGATGGGATGGCTACGGTGATAGATCGATGCATTATATGAAAGCAGGGTAGACCAATCACTTCCCCCCACCTTCGGTTTCGTGGATCCAGCAACGGAGACTCTGAGCTTTGGGCCTGTTTCCTTGGCCAATGCGGTTGGCGCTTTCAGAGCCGGTGGTGGATGCCTTGTAGCTTGACCGGATTGATCACCGCCCGATTTGCCAGAGTCGCTCCGTCCCATAGTCTTGGTTGGCAATATTGGCTCTCCAATAGCGCTCACATTGATGGTCGGAGGCCTGCAAAGAATCATGAATCAGACATATCGGGAGAGACTGCAGTAAGAGCCACACCTTTGCCATAACCCACTTTTCGATGACTGTGCTTTGATTCCGCTTCTTTTGGAGGGTCATCTGGAAACGCTCTTGAAGCCTTTCAAAATCAGGAACCACTCGATTGATTTTCGGACGGAACACATGCTCTGGAGTCATTCCAGACATCTTCTCATACTCTGATAGTCATGTGGACGGTTACAACAGAGTCAATACAGATTCGTCATATCCGCCTCCTAATGAACGATCGCCGAGGCTCTCAAGAAGGAGCCGTCGTAAGCACCCGGCGCTCCAACAGCGCCACATAGCTCTATTAATGAATCCCACATTTCCCAAACGGGATTTCATTTGATTCCATGATGAAATATCAAGTTCCATTGATAGCACCAGTCCGTCATACGGCTTTTGACTCCACCAGACATCAATGGGGGAAATGGCGCAAAGCATTACCGCTGAGCTTCTTTCGTCGTTTTCGGCCATCATCTGCACAGTTTGCTATTATCTTGGAGTTACTTAGGATCGCTTTGGCACGTTCTTGTTGCTCCTTGCGAGTCTTTTGATAGCCAATCTCCATCACAGCTTTGTCAATCGTGGCATTTCTGCGATTCTATCAGACGGGTTACGGGACATTCATGAGCAGAGAGTACGCCAGTGATGAGCGAGGGCACTGAATACTAGAACCAGCAAATTAATCACAGCGACAGCCTCGGTTCCGTTGCGACTGCTATTCAAGTGCCTGATGTCGCATTCAACAGTGAACTTGGACGAATGTAGCTATACCTGACATAGACACAGGTCCATTGTACAGTCTGCGCCATGCTGCTGCTTTGGTTGCCGAAACCTGATGTTATGGCGCAGTATGGAGCGATCTTTGATGCGTAGCTCGAATCTGGCGGGCGGACCTTTGATTACTCAATGCGTTCCTGGTGTAGCACTATCGTCACTCTGTCTGGCAAACCGGGCTATGCAAAGGTCTGGTAAAGGTGGCAGACTAAACTAGACTGGACCAGACCCATGGCTGCTGGATTTGCTCAATTGTTTGGCTGTATTCCGGGCACCCACCCCTTGGAAGCGCTTGGCCTGCAAGGTAAGCCAAATAAGGAAGCATAACCATTGGCCTACCTCCGATCCAGGGACGATGGTGGGACCGGCGTGGCCCTAAACTGTACTCTGAGCATGGCTTCCTCTTGCTCTTGCCTCTCACGCAACTCCTGTTCGAGTCTCCTCTGAGAGGTTGTCGGCCTTGGGGCTCGCAGCAGATTCGGTCGTGTGCGGCGCTCTCGGGGCTGTTGGATGGAGGTGCCGAGTCTGCTGCGAGCGACTCGAGATGAGCTGGTCTGACGTAGGTGATTTCTTCGACGATGCAACTGTTGAATTTCAACTGGGACTCCGCTTTCCGAGCCCGAGTAGAGCGTGTCCGAATCTGTAATGTTGTCTTTGTCAGAAATCGCACGATTTAATCGATTCTCTTGCTCATGGAGGCCTGGAAATGCGTTCTCGTCGGGCATTGACGTGCATTACACAGAGAAGAGCGGGGTTGCAACGAGCCACTGAGGCTTACCTCCGTCGGAGTCATAAGCTTCCTCGGAGACTTCCTCGTCATTGGGTGCATGGTCGTGCTGACTATGGTGCAGTGTGCTGTGAGATTGCTGCGCCGGTGTGTGCAGATGCAGCGATGATGATGATGATGGACCTCTCGCCGCGCTGCATCGAGTATTTGACATCGTTGGGCTGGGCACCTGGCGGGGCGGCCGCTTGCTAAGGGCTCGGTACTCCTGTGCCCATCGTGTGCGCCAACGCTGCATCTGGTGCAAAACGGATGACCGTTGCCGGGGTGGGTTGCAGTTCCGAAAGGCTTCGACTGCCGGCGCACAGCCCAGCCCTTCTTCCAACGCATGGAAGAAGTGACATGCAACCTCGGGATTCTCAAGAGGAACCTCATGCTCCTCAAGCGATCGGATGGCATCATGCAACCGTCTCTCGTCCGGGCCCGCGGTTGTCCTTGAAGTCGAGTCGCTGAGGGTGTCTCTGGAGACCTCCCATCCCCTGTTCTGCCATCCATAGTATCGACTAGACAGGGGCTTGCTTCGTGCAGCCAGCTCCTCCTGCATTTTCAATCGCAGGTAATTGCCACGCGACTCCATAAGCTTCTTGTGATGTGCTTCGATAATCTGAAGCTGGTACTGATTGCAAGACTGCCTGACGGTTTCGGCCTCAAGTGCGTCGAGCTGCGCAAGCGCCTCGTTGCAACGGCGTGACAAATCTATGGTGTAAACCATCGCGGACCAGCACACACGCGTAAATCGGAAGCAGGGATGAAGCCGCTGGGTATGAGTGCGTATGGCTTTGGTCGAGACGAGCTGCTGTTGGACATGCAGCCATCCGCAAGAAATGCTTGCTTGCAAGCACCCGAGAGCGACGCAGGGCATTCGTATGAAGGACTGAAAATCTCCGTCCAGTCGAGCCAGACAGCTCTAGACCCAATCATTGTGCGACCGAGATCGAGACGCCTGGGCTCGGCCGGTCGTTTTGTTCGCCAGCCATATGGACAGTTTGTGGGATGGATGAGAGCTGTGGTGTTATGGGACACCCTCGCGATCCCATTTATCAGCGTAACATGTGATGAGCGCCTAGCTATGCCATAAGAAATCGAACAAACCACCTCCGAGTGAAGACCACCGGTCGCTCTCCGATCTCCACAATCTACATGCACACTGGTCTCGGAGTGCCAGCGGTGAATGGCCATGGCCAGCGCGCGATGGTATTAGGTAACAAATCATTCGGCCAACGACCAATAGCCAAAGTATCTCGTTTCTTTCTGGATTGGTTGTAACAATCTGGGTTTGTTTCTTTTGTGGGGGGGGGGCTCTGAGTTCCCACATCCATGACCCACACCCATCATTGGGAGTTCCACAGATACCTTGACGGTGCAGATTACTCCGTGAGATCTCATCGACGAACCGCGCAAATGCGCGATGTATTCTGCAATAACAGGGTGCTCGTTTCTTCATATCTGAGCCGGATCCGCCTGGTACAGATAGTGTGTTTCATCAACAGCACCAGCAGTGGATCACACCCGCTGTTTGAGGGCCTCGTATCCCTTCGAGAAGGCGTCTTGGTTGTCGACCTCTTTGAGCGCCCGCCAGTGTAAATGCGTGACCTGGGTCATGTCTCCAGAGACTTCCATCTCGAACTCGATGCATGACAGCCAGGAATCTGTAATCGAGGGCACATCAGTACAGACAATCGGAACAGGTGTTTGGCAGCCTTTGCGGGTCTCCGTGACAAGGGAATGAGCAGCCAGCTCGAGGCCGCCGAGCACGTCGCCCGATCGAAAGAGCAGTCTTGCCGGACGAGGAGGGTGAGCCACCTACCGTGTCGCTTGGTGTCGGCTTCGATCAAGATCTCATACACTTTCCTGATTTGTTTGATCTGCTTGTTCTTGGACGTCTGCGAAGAGCATTGGCTGCACAGCTCGGTCTCGATCTGAATCCATCGCTCATAGAACTCGGGCTGACGCGTGCGCAGGCTTCGCAGCCTTTCGCATACTTCGCGGCACTTTGCAATACCGCCGACCTTGTGTGCCCAATCAATGTACTGGACCAAGAGCGGGGTCTCGTATTCGGAATAGCCAAGCTCGCTGACGGTTGCGCTTTGGTTGAACGTCCGCTCAACGTCTTTGGCTGGTAGATTGCTCTCCGAGACAACCCAGTCGATAAAGGGAATCCAAATGGTGTGTTTATCTTGTTTTGCTGCGGCCTTGACGGCAGCCTGGAAATGCGAATAAGTGAACTCGGCGCCTTTGTGCATTGTCTGCTTGATGTAGGCCAGATGCAACTCGATGCTTGTTGGGTGCCTGTCGATGCCAAAGGTCAAAGCAGCCTCTTTCTCGGACTTGTCTTCAACAAAATCGGACCACATGATATACGCTGTCGGCTCGGCTACTTCGAGATCGTGCGCGAGAACGAACGTCTTCCTCAGTAGCTTGCTGATATAGGCGCGCTGCAGCGGGTACATGGACCGCGGTCAGTATTCGCTTGTTCATGTGGGCTATCCCGGTAGGACCAGGGTTTGATTTGCTGGTGCCAAAGCGAATATGTAATCATACTGAAACTCACCAGATTCTCTTCGTCTGTTCGAGCAAGACACGAGCTCAGGAAGCGAAGATAACGCGTGCATAGGACGGGCGAGCTTGTATCCTGCGAAGGAAAGCGCCAGGTTAGCCATCCAGCATCATAAAGATATCCATAGAGGCGCGGGAAGTATCGAACAGAGTCCAGTACAGGTTTCGAAAGTCCCGGTAGATATACCAATGGATATCCTTGGCTCAAAATCCCCAAGCCTGCCTGTCAGCCGCTCAAAACGAGAGGGTCAACATACCGTAAGATACTCCTTGTACTCGTCGATAGCCATCTTGAGCGCCGCCGGAAAGCCGGGATCGGAGGTCGTCAGGCCAGTCAAGTAGCGCTCGCAAATGGCCGAGATAGCGACAGGGTCGTCTCCAAAATCTGTCGCCAGACTGTGGATTGTCGGGCGGATCGGGGAGGGTAGGAGGGGTCAAATTAGGGACAGGGTGCGCGCATTTTGGTACCGCTAACGGGTGCTTGAGGATCCAACCCATTGTCGCTTCTATGACCATCATTGGCGTGCTTTCTGAAGAATGTGTGAATCAATTGATGCTCACCTCTGGTAGATCTCATCCTGTCCAATTTGAGTATCGTCTCCGGCCTGTCGATACAGCTCCAGAAACTCGAGCCGAAATGGGAGATTGCTTGCGATAGCTGTGCGAGCACGATTGCAATCGACAGATAGGGGCAATAAGATACCGAGCGATGCCAAACAAAAGCAGCAGCGCATCGCTGGCGGGCAGCATAATGCAAGGAGCTCTACCTTTGACAGCATTCCGATAGATCGCGCGAGGAATGGCCAACTCAAGGAGTGCCTTTTGCATTGGCGAGAGCGACTTTTCCAGAACACTCTCGGGCTCGGACGTCAGCGATTTCGATATGACCGGATCCTGGGAAGTAACGAGGCAGTACAAGACACAGCGGCATGCCCGTTTCAATCAGAATGAGAAGACATGGCGGGTTCGCGGAAACGAGCGTCACTCGAGTCTGCAGAATCAACTCTGGCATGCTTCAAGCTAGAGCATGAACGCCACCCACATTTTCGAGAGGATTTTCCAGTCCAGACTCTTCGCTGAGAGAAGGGACGCTGACACCCGTAGGGGCCTCATCGCCGTCACGATTGTCGTCGTCGTCTTCATCGTCCAGATCCACATCGACCTTGTCTGCGTCATTTGGCTTTGGTTCTGGGACCGCGGTCGATTTTTTGGGCTTTCCACCTTCGCCAAACAGCAGACGCCGACGCTCTCTGATCTTGATGAGCCATAGTAACTCCAGCTTGAAGTACTCCAGCCACAGCTTTTGAGACTCGGGATTCAAGCGAAGACCACGCTGCAGCAGCACTGACAGAGTCGCGATTCACAAAGTTAGCATGAGCCGCGACCGGGCTGACCGTAAACTCTGCCTTCAAGGTGAGCCAGACCGAGCGATCATCCTGTCTCGTGTATCACGGCCATTTCGCTGCGCCCGATGCACCCGTAATCTTGATCAAGGAGTCGACTGGTCGCGATTAGTGCTGTACGAGTTGAGAGACAGCCTACCTCGAGCAGACGAGATGTTGGAGTTTTCCTCGTACTCCCATGCAGCGGCCATGATCCAGAAGACAGGCTTTGTGGGGTGATATTGGATAACACTGAAATGCAGTCGGCCGTGGATGATGACAAACACACAAGGAAACGCGCGGTAGAATGATACATAGCATCGCATCGTTAGGATAATCTGTTCCGGCACTCGAAGTTGGGCGAGGGATCGGCAAGGCCGATTCGCGAGCAGATTCATCACTCGCAAGAGAGAGTTCAAGGCACAGGTGTCGTTGCACGAACAGTTGCAGATACGACTGGCAACCGAGGCTGGCGCAAGGCGATGCGATATAGAGCGCGAGAGGGCAGGTCCAAACCGCCAGCGTCGATGTCTGGGGAACTCGGAAGCACGACCGCAAAGCGAAGTGCCTGCATCGACAATGTGCATTCCAACAACGTACCGGGCAAAGCTCTTGCCCAACAGCTTCGACGATCCGCTCTGCCGAGCCCACTCGAGATACTGGATCCAGAGATGGACATCACCAGAGAACTTCTTGAGTAGCTTGTGATAGAGCTGGTGGATGCGTCTGAGGATGCTGTGGTCGGAGAGTGTGATGTTTGGCTCGGACTTGTTCTTGCCTCGAGGCTTCTTGTCCAGTCGCAGCCTCATCTTGCGCTTCTTGCGGAGCTTTTCAAGGTTCATCTCGTATTCAATATATCGGAGATAGTCGCTCTTCTTGCTGATGCGCCGATGGATGGCGTACTCGAAATCTGTTCGGCGCTTGATGATGGACTTGACTTCGGCCTGGCTCGGTGGAGGATGTGGAGCGAATATCCGTCAGAATCGGTCGGGGAAGAATAAAAGAGGGGGTTTTGACAAAGAATGCGGACTGGAGAGCTCATGCATATTCAAGAAATACAGGAGATTACGATCTGAGTGGCCAAGAAAAGGCAAGAGCGCTGTTGATGCTGGTCCGTTGGATAAAACGCATTACCCTGCTGAAGATGCCTCGCTCCTCGAGATCTTCGAGCTCAGGGAGCATGCGCTCAAGATGGTACTTGACAGAGTCGGCCATGGTGTGCTATGACGGTCTCTGCAGGCGTGTGGATGGACCAGGACCGACGGTGCTGCTGTCGGTGCTGCTGTCGACGGACACTCGATCGGGGAGAACGGCCAGGAAAAACAAAAAAATGAGCATCACGTGTGTGAAACCCCGATGTGCGCAGCCAGCCGTCCCGGCTTGTTGTGTCGTTGCCACAGGTATCAAGTGAGATTCAAATGACGGGGACTCGCGAGCGTCGCTTGCCCTGGGCTATAAACTTGGGTACTCACAGGCACTCATGTATTCACACTCAAGCAAAATGACAGTTCATTGTGGGCGCGCCGAAAATGCGCCCGCCATCACGTCAGCGTGCAGGGTTGGTTGGCTGAGAACGGCAAACAGATCCTGCCACCGAGCTGGATGGCGATGGTGTCGCTTACTACCAGCAGCCGAGAATATTGCCGATCGTTGCATCGCACAATACTAAGCCGCAGTTTACAGCGACGCAGGTTTGTTAGATCGGCCGACGTAGATGGTTCAGCGGGACGTATCCTCGCTGCCCCTTTTCGTTTTCGACCAGCCCCCATCCGTCGGACTGTTCCTGCAGCACTACGACCTGCTGGTACAGGGAAATTGAGAGCTCATCTGCGGCTACAGCCTTGCGTCCGTGGATGACTTCTCGCAAATCGGCCGAGGCGGGTGACTGGTAGCTCGGCAGTTCGGTTGGAAGGACAGGCATTGAGAGTGACTCCACGGCGACGGGACCTTCCGGTGCTCTCGACAGCCCAGTCGCAGGTGGCGAGTCTACCAGAGGCGTTGGGTCAGCTTGATGGCCGGGTGTACTGGTCTGATTCTTTTGCTTCCGGTTTACGGCCGCGATTGCCGTCAGCGGGAGCAGCGGGGCGACCGTCTCGGCTCCGGCGACAGCGCCGCCGACACCTCCAGGAGCGACGCTTGCTGAGCCACCAGACCCTCCGAACCCAACGTTGGACATGCCGCCGCCTCCTTGACCAACAGAAGCGGGGCCCTGGGGTCCGTATCCACCAGGTCCGTATCCGCCAGGTCCGCTGTACGGGTTGTTGCCAGCGGGAGCGACGGAGCTGCTGCCACCGCCACCGCCACCGCCACCATGGACGGATGGCCCCGTATTCGGCCCAGGCATTTGCGAGGAGGGTCCGGGCATTTGACCAGGTCCTTGGGACATTCCTTGGTTGCCATACCCGCCTTGCGACATGCCCGAGCCACCACCCGAGTCATATCTGCCACTAGGTTGACTGGCATTCGGATGGTTGGCGGCCGGCATGGACGAGCTGGGGCCGTAGTTACCAAAGGCACTTCCGACCTGGCCCAGATCGTCACTCAGCACGGATCGTGTAGAAGGATTGGTTCTCCGGTCAGCGTGGTCCTGGTGGTGGGAGACTTGCTCGTACGCGATATCGGATAGCTTTTTGGCCTTGCGCATCTGGTAGTACTTTGTGCCGATAAATGCAATAATGCCGATGGCCACCACGCTTCCGGCGACGCTGACGCCGATGATGGTACCTTGGGATGGGCCGCTGGCGGGTTGTGGGGTGGGCGAACCGGATGGTGCTCCAGAGCCCGACTGAGTCGAGGACGCGGTGCTGCCGTCTTGTTGGGTCGAGGAGGGAGGTTCGACGGATGTGGGGATGACGGTCTGGGAGGAGGCTGTAGTGGACAGCGCCGTGGTATCCTTGGTAACGGAAGCGGACAGATCAGAGGTCGTTGCAGATGTGATGATAGGGATGGTCACGGATGCGGAAGGGTATGTGGTGGAAGAGGTAGTGGCAGGAGGTGAGGATGTGGCTGGGGGGCTTACAGTCGAGGATGACGAAGGGACGTTGGTCGTTACCGTTGTGGATGCAGACGATGTCGCGGCGGACGTTGTGGGCTGAGCCGACGATGTGGTGGTGGTTGTGGTGGTGGCGACGGTCGTGGTGGTAGTGGTTGTGGTAGTGGTCGTGGTCGTGGTGGTTGTGGTTGTGGTAGTTGTGGTGGACGATGACGACGGAGCAGCAGCAGCCACGGCGATATTAAAGTCGCCGCGGGAACACACCCCGCTTGAGCTGCAGACCGAGATGCTATAGGATCCTGCGACAACGTTGGAGGGCAGGCTGACGCCAATGTTCTGGGTGCCGGTGGTCAGGGGCACCGTCCCGGACCCGATGCCGTAGGCGCTTGTGCCCTGTGATGGCAGCCCAAGACGAAACGAGAACACAGTGCATGCGACAGAGCGCATCAACATTCGTTGGTTGGTTAGTGGCGAGCGCCGGAAATCCTGTGCCCGGCAGTGAACCGACGATCTGGAGCGAAGGGGCTTACCGAGAGAAGAACGGTGAACGAACTGCCGACGAGGAACCCTGTTCCACTGTTCCAGTTGACGGGAAAGCTGTAGGACTGGCCGGCGGTCCATGGACCCTGGCGATCCGGAGGATATGGGAGCGGGTAAGCCTCGTGATAGACCTAACAGCAGCAACAGAAACAGAAACGGAGGCAGAAACGGAAGCAGAAACTGCTGCAAGAACAGCAAAACCTCCCTCCCGAAACCGCTGGGAACTGCTCGGAACACCGACCACAATTCTGGGGATCAGGGCTGAGAGCTGGGGCGTTACAATGACCGAGCTGGAGCTTGGAGCAGCGATCAGGACAAGGGCCATGATCATCCAGCAGAGACGCACTGGGAGTCTGTGCTGCATGGCTGGAAGGCGTTGAGGGTTGGGAAAGCCGCAGCAGGGGGGGGGGGCAGGACAGCAGGGGCCGAGTGCGAATGGAGAAGAAATTGGGTTGGCGATGGCTTGCAGAGGAAGCCAAAGAAGCGGGGAGACGTTCAGAAAACGGGGGGCGAGACGGAGGCCGGCAGCGGCGAAGGGCGCTAAATGGGTCCAGGACCCACAAGCAACAAGCGGAACAGGCGTTCATACAACGGCCGACGCGGCGCAGCGACTCGTTTGTGCGTGGGTCATGATGACCGCACCAAAGCACCCCGCCACCAACGACACGGCAGAGACACGTGCACCCAGCACACACCGCGAACGAACAAGTGATTGTGATGGGTGATGGGCGGTGTGTGTATTCAGGCCCGTAAATCAACGACAGTCCTGACTCAAAACAGGGATTCCCGTTTCAAAATGGGTACGCTGTAGATATAAAAAGGGCGAGGGTAGGAGAGGGCATGGGTTGCGGTGCAGCACAGCCTGATGCTGGGCAGGGGCTGTAAAAATGAGGGCTTGGACAGGCAGGCAACGAGGAGGGGGGAAAGAGGGAGGAAAGAGGGAGAGGTGAGCGAATCTTTGATGATCGATGGAGGGGGACACTTGAGTCGAGTATAAAAATGGAGAGATCCAACGTCGGCAGGGCGATGGAACGTTGGTGGACCTTGTGATTGTGATTAGGATGAAGGATAGGCGATGGACTGCATTCTAGAGTCAAAGGCAGATGAGGGGGGAGAGCTGACCACCCAGCGCGCAGGAGCTGCTCAAGCGTGGCGGGTGAGCAGAGCAAACGCAGCAGCCGGAACGAGAGCCAAGGCGAGGGAAAAGTCAAAGCGGGAGGCGGCAGCGCTCTTGGAGCCCTGGGAGGGAGAGGTGCTGCTCTGGTTGGAGATGCCGGGGATCTGGATGCCGGGAGGGGGGTTGAAGGGAGCCTCGCCGGCCACAGCAACCTTGCGCTTCAGGTTGACACACTGGCCCGCAACAGGATCCCAGGTACCGGCGTTGGGGCAGCCGGCATCCGGGATGAAATGGCGAGTGCTGGTGGTCGAAGGGTTGGGATCGGAGACGTTGGGGGCTTTGGAGGGGCAGCCAAAGCACGACGAAAAGTACGCATTCTGGTCCATGTAGGAGCATGACTCGGTCAGGCCAATGTCAATGTTGCCGTCGCCCTTGTTGTCGACACCGTCGCAGACTTCGGCATTCGAGGGATCCCGGGCCGCGATGGTGCAGCCCAAAGCCGGGTTGGTCAGCGAGCCCTGGGTGTCGGTGGGATTGCGCATCCACGCCAGGAGCTGCTGGTTGGTGACCCAGTAGACGTCCGGGTAGGTGGACTGAGTCCAGGAGATGAACTGCATATAGGCAGTCAGGCGCTGGGGCTCGATCGTGGGCAGAGCAGGGGTGGCGTGGAGGAACAGACCCATGGGGGTGCGCTGTCCGTTGTAATGCTTCAAGAAGTTGAACTTGAGCATGGCCAAGATGCCATCCGAAGTGAGCGGAGCAGTGGCAGTAGCGAGAGGGTCCATCGAGGTGTTGATGGTATCATCGGGGTTGTTGAGGTTGGGCATGGGAATGGACCACAGTCCCGGGAACGAGAAGTTGCCGGTGCAAGATCCGGTAACGCATCCGATGGCAGGGCCAAAGTCCAGAGTGTAGCTACAAGCCACGAAGGCATCGTATCGATGTGAGATAGAGCGAGTAGAGCAGTATGTGAGCCATCAGAGGGATGAAAGCGGAGATGACAGGAGTGCGCTTGACGAGCACCTTGCCGCAAAGCGTGCTCAAGCAACCAGGGCGACGGCAGTGGAGGACATGTCGCAGAGTATGGCCAGCGAACAGTTGCGTTCAAAGTCGCGCCTGTGGGTTGTGTGCGGGGCAGTTCGATGACTACAGAGATGACTACATACGGCCAGATAGGAGTGTTGGCCTCAACAACCATGGACGAGTCGTAGAGGAATGTGCCGAGAGAGGCCAGGTTCTGATAGGACTGGGTCGAGTAGAGCAGGAAGGGATGGCGGAAGCCCAGGAGCGAGTTCTTGGGAACACCTCCGTAGTGGTTAAGGGCAATTTGAGAGCCCTGGATCTCCTCGACGGGTGGATTTCCTGTAAGCCAAGAGGGAAGGCGAGGCACTTAGATCGTGAAACGGTGGCGGGCGAATCACTGGGAACATATCGGTGATTGGCAGGAGTTGCACATACCGATATGGTTCATGGTGTGGCAGGCAATCTCGTGGCCGTTGCCGTAGAGCTTCTGGACTCTCCAGTAGTCTGTCCACTGGGTGGAGACGAAGAAGGTGGCCGCAAGAGGGCAGCCGTTGGGGTTGACATGGTAGTTGGTCAAGTTGTAGATGACGGGCTCGACGACCGAGTTGACGGCATCATCGAAGGCTGAGGGTGGCGGACATCCAGCGTAGTCGATGGAATGTGGATACCAGGTGACAAAGGGCGGAAGATGGAAGGTGAGCCTCTGGACTGAAAGGCGTTCGGATGATTTGCTCGAGACGTGGACTGTGTTCCGATGTCCAGCCAAGAGCGCGGCGATTTCAGGCTGCGACGGACAAGCCGAACGAGAACGACAGGAAGAAGCGTGCTTACTCAGAGTAATGAACTGGGGGATCTTGGCGGGAGTGAGGCCGCCGGGTGGGTTGCTGCTGGCGCAGTAGCACTTGGGCATCACGCAAGTGGTGGGGTCGCACTTGTAGCTTGGGTTGAGGGTGGAAGGACCGGTGGCCTACAACGAAGTATCATTGGTGAGCAAGCCATGATCAACGCAGATCCGACAGAGGAGATGCGGATTCGAGGCAGGGCAGAGGCGAAAGAGTCGAGCGGGGTACTCACACCGCCCTCCTGGGCGAGGACGCCGCTGGAGAGAGCCAGCAGCGCCGCAGCGAGACGGATGAGTTTGAGCGACATGGTTTGTTCTGCTTTTGCGGAATAAGACGGAAGAGGTCGATCGAGACGAAGAGACGAAGCAGTGCTCGAGCGGGAGAAGAGCAATCTGATCGGCGAGACGGACGAGCGAGGCCGAAGCGAAGAGCACGCCGAAGAAACGGGGAGCGAAGGAAACGCACTGAATTTTAAGGCGCGGCTGGCCGCATTTGGGCTGTTGGCCAGCGGCCCCCACCACCGCCCGCCGCCTGAGCGGCCAGGCAGACAAGGGCGCAGAAGCAAGCGCAGAAGCAAGCGCAGAAGCAAGCGCAGAAGCAAGCACAGAAGCGAGCGAAGAAGCAGACAAGAGCACGCCCTTGTTGGCAGTGTTCTATTTTGCTGTGTGGTGCGTTATGGTGTCAGTGGTGGGCCGCACTGTCCTGTGCTGGTCTGCTTGCTGCGCATTCTGTCAAGCAGCGCCGACATCGCCGCCGGGCCACGGATTCCGTTTGTTTGTGTTCTCGGTGTCGCATCCGGCAGGGCGCACGCAGACGAACGTGCCCATTCCCGCCTTGTTTGCCTGGCTGTGTGCTGTGCGGTGGCTGGTTCCAGAACGCCCACCACAGACCGACGCGCGTCCGTCGGCTGTGTCACGCCTGTGTCCCCATGCGCGTTTGCACCGCCGCCCTGCCCTGGCCCTTGCCCTGTTCATGAAAGCATCACACCCCGTTTGGCCATTCTCGACCGGGTGTATGGTATGATCCGACCACGGCGTGCATCTTGTCGGAATGAGACAATATGTCCCCATTGTTATTTTCACCATACTGTACAGGCGGCATTAGTACTCGACCGCAATCTGCTCATAGGGCTTGCGGTGCAGGTTGGGGATGGTGGCGTTGTTGGCGGGGTAGCCCACAGGAAGCAGCAATGAGACCTTTTCGTTGGCAGGGCGGCCCAGAAGCTTGCAGATCTGAGGCCCGCAGTTCATGGGAGTGGAGGTGAGGGTGGCCAGACCGGCGTTGTGGATGGCTGTGGAAAGGGTATGACAGCAGCAGCACCTTCGATCAGCAACCGCACCAATGCATGGCCACTCAAGACCACGACAGAGCAATGTCAGTGATGCCCGTGTCGACCAGACGCTGCAGACTCACCAGAGATGAGGAGACCCTGGGAGATGGCGACAGAGTGTTCAAAGTAGTAGTGGTTCTTGCGCTCGCCGTTGTCAGTGATGCCGTAGGTCTGAGACGGGAGGGAACGCACCATGTTAAACCAAGGCTATGTTGCAGCGCATCGCAGTGTTCAGGTTCTTCCAGCAGGGCTACGATCATTGCAGCAGGGCTGAGATCATCGCTGGCCACGCCACACAGCCACGTCTCTGTGCAGGATCAGCGCCCGACCTGCTTGAGAACAACGATCAGGTAGGGTGCGGTATCGAGATATTCCTTGTGCCAGTCGGTGCCCTTTTGATATCGCAAGAAGGAAGGGTAAACGTCATTGTCGTCTCGTGGTCGAGTCTGTGGAGGCTGACAGCCGAGGAAGCCCGTTGCAGATCACGGCCGGTCGTGCCTTTCGCAACAGACAAGTGGCTCCAAGCCAGACACTCACCAGGGGAGCAAGGTCGCTGACCCACTGTCTGGACATGCGCTTTTCGTAGTTGATCTTCTCCTCGGCCTCGATGATCTCGCGGAGCTTGTGCTTGACGACAGGATCCGAGACGATGGCAAACGTCCAGGGCTCAGTGTGAGCGCCCGAGGGAGCCGTGCCAGCAGCCTTGACACACTCGCGAATGACCTCGATGGGAACGGGGTCGGACGAGAACATGCGGACGGTGCGGCGCTTGTTCAGATGCTCGTAAAACTCGCGGGAGCGCTGGAGCATCTCGGCTTCAGAGAGGCGCTTGAAGTTCATGGGCACGTGCGGGAGCGAGAAGGGATCGACGAAATCGGCACCGGGCTCCTGCAGCTTGAGGCCCGGGCCGGAGGGACCCTCGGTGATGTCCTCGTCGAACGGGGTCATGTCGCCATTGATGTTCTTGCGGACCTGCCAGCCAGAAGACGAAATTGGTGTGAGCGGGAGGAAGTGGTGCATGGGCCGATCGACAACAGTACGTATGGATCCGAATAGATGTGCATGGCGACCGAGACAGACGGAAGTGCACATCGAGACGATCGGAGCATGCCATCAGGAGATACCTTGTACTCCTTGTAGGCCAAGTAGCCAAGGGTGCCGGCGAGAGCGACAACCACGGCGGTGAAGTAGGGGTCCTCGTTGTTGAGGAGCTTTTTGGCGAGATTGCTGAAGATGGCCATGGCTGCGACGATGCTGGGAAGGAGGGGGACACGGAGGCAGGGGGGAGAGCAGGACGGATCGAGCGACGGTATATATCGGGAGGATCTTGTTGGGGGGGGGCTGGTGCCGGAGCAAGGCAGCAGCAACAGGACGGGAAGCGGGGCTGGCGATCGCGAGGGTCGCACGGATGCCTTCCGATCGGGCCAACCACGAGCGCGTGCGGACACGCCATCGGGCGATCGCGGGACCGGATTGGTGCGCCGGCCGGAGACGCCCGCCAGGTGACCTGGCGTGGGGAGAACACAGCTTTGTCGGCAACAGCGCCCATGTTTGCCGAGGCTGCGTTACGCCGGTGTTGATATCGATGCCGGTGTTGGTATCGATGCTGGTGTTGATATCGATGTCGTTGATATCGATGCTGGTGCTGATATCGATGCTGGTGCTGATATCGATGCTGGTGCTGACAGCCATGTAAATGTCACCCACCCACACCGAGTCGGGACAGCATGCGGCGGGCAGTGTCTGTCCATCCATGATCGCCATGAAGCCCCAGCGGGTGGAGCGACACATCCACCGCCTGGCACTGCCCTGGGCCGCCGTCACCGCTTCTCTGGCGGGAGGGGAGCCACTCCCGCACGCATCCCCATGCATCCGCCCGGCAGTGCTGGCCGAGCCAATGCATCCGCGGAGGTGGGTGTGGATGCGGAGGGCAGAATGAGCCGGCCAGCGCCGACCAAGGCGGACTGGGCACCAGGAGCAAGATCCAACAGCCCACGTCGTGGGGGAAGATCGCGCCTCGATCCGGAGTCGTCCGCCGAGGCGGGTGCGCTGTCGGCTTTCAGCCTGAACCACAGCAATAGGGGTCGATGGGCTGCAGACCGAATCGAGGGTGCTTATGCTCGTCTTTGAGCCGAGCACCGGCGCTGAACTCGCATCCAAGCCATCGCCCGGCCTGTGCCTGTGCCTGTGCCTGGACTGCCATGAATGTGGCGCGACACTACTGCCTTTTTCCTGGAAGAACCAAATCGACTCGTTGGTTCGCAAGGCCCTGTTAGATCGCGCCAGGCCGCAGCACCAAAAGCGCCGGTGCTGCGGGTTTGATGTTCTCCCAACGGACACGGGGTCCGGCATCGCTGGCGGCTCGGTCGAGCAGAGGACAGAGCCTCCGTCCAAGCACCAGCACAGATGCGAGCAGGAGATGGGCTTGCCCCGTTTGCCCCGTTTGCTCCGTTTGCCCTGCTTGCCCAGCCCGCTCGACATGATCTGCTGGTCCGGGATACCCGCCAAGCCACACCCGCCCAGCTTCGATCGCTTTCCGCCGTCGTCGGCTGCCTTCGCCGTGCTTCTGCGGGCTTCTGCCGCGGCGAGCAGCGAGGAGGGCAATTGGCTTGGGCGAGAGCGCTCTCGGCGCGGCCTCGCCGGCGCGCTGTTCTCGCCGAACAGATTAAATTCATCCTGATTCTCGCCCCTCGCTTCTCGCCCGAGCGAGACGGCCTCGGCCGAGAGCGCGACGCGGCTCGACAGCATGCCCGCCACATCAACAGTGTGCGCAGCAGCCTGATACCGCCAGCACAGCGCCGCACACAGAGACTGCGGCAACCCGGGCGCACAAGGCGCGTCCGTCGCACCACGCACCACGCTGCTGCGCACAGAGAGCGCTCTGTGCGACCAACAGGGGCATTCGATTTTCGGTGTCCTGGGCTCTCGCCGGGCTTCTCGCCGCAGCGAGCCTCGCCCGTGCCTCTGTTGCTATCCGCCTGGGAAGCCGCTATATAAGCTCTTCTCGGCGCCATTTGTTATCGAGATCCACCCGCCTTCGTTCCCCTCTGCCCTTTCCTGCGTCTCGGACTGCGAGGTGAGCCTGGCGATGCCGTGAATCTCGGCACTGCCCCTACGATCGGTGCACCTCGATAGCCTGGCTGGCTCTCGGCAGCCCTATCGGCTCTATGCGCTGACCCGCCTCGGTATCCTGGGCATCTCCAGATCCACACACACTCTCTCACAATGGTCAAGGAAACCAAATACTACGAGGTCCTCGGTGTCGACCCGTCGTGCTCGGAAGTAAATATCCCGCATCCATCACGCCGCACATCATCGTATATCGCGCCGGCGGACCGGTGCAGCGCACCCCAACTGCTCGTGCAGGAATCCCACGAGAGAGCGACAGCTTTCCACCCTGCTCGACTGCACTAGCAGCAGCCGCGCGGACACATCACGATGATCTTGGGGTGCGATCCGTGTGAAGACCTATTGGGAATGTGATCACAGCTTCACCAAGCAGCCCCAGCGACTCCGTTCTGTGTCCTAATCGCTCCTCGTGCTTGGTATTCCGTCGCCGCTTTGCTCAGAATGATCTCAAAAAAGCCTACCGGAAGCTGGCTCTGAAATACCACCCAGACAAGGTACGTGTCTCCACCCGCACCGCCTCTGCTGATAGCTGCTGCTGCAACCGCTACCACCCTGCTCGACGAATCGCTCGCTCCAGCCTCGTGCGCCACCGTCTGGACCAGACATCGTTTTCGGTAATGGCCATCGTTGATGCTTACATTCCCACAATCCTGTTTTTCCAGAACCCCGATGCCGGTGATCAGGTACTTGTTTTTCCTTATTCGCAAGCCCTTGATATCGAGCTCGTGTGGGATGAGCTCTTTGGTGGTCCCCAGCCCTGGCGTCAACAAAACAGAGGACTGTGTGGACGAGTCACGTCCCAACGACTTGCGACATGAATGGCCTCGTGATCTCCCAGCATCATCCGCTCCGCATCCACTCCCGAGCGATATGGCTCGGATGCGGATCGAGGTGGCAGCAATTGGCGTGCCGGGCGCTCTTTGTTGATGCCGTGCTGTGACGGAGATTGCCGCTCTGAGTTGATGGTGTCGGATCTGTGAGCGAGGAACTCCCGCCGATAGAGCTGGATGCTGTGCATCTCCTTGACAAACAGATGCCCTCGTCCGAGTCGCGATCTACCCCGCTGACATGCCGCTTTGCCTCTCTGCCTCTTCCTCGTACTTCCTCCTCGCGTTGGATCTTGGCGGCTGCAGTTCAAGGAAATCTCCCACGCCTACGAGATTCTCTCCGACTCGAACAAGCGACAGGTCTACGACCAGTTTGGCGAGGCCGGTCTGAACGGCGACGGTGGCATGGGCGGCGGCATGCCGACCGATATTTTCGAGCATCTGTTCGGTGGCGGCCATAGCAACTTCTTTGACCGTCGGCCCCAGGGCCCCCGCCGCGGCAAGGACATGCTTCACAGCCTCAAAGTCAGCCTCGAGGACCTCTACAAGGGCAAAGTCTCGAAGTTGGCCCTGCAGAAGCAGGTGCTCTGCGCCAAGTGCGACGGCAAGGGCGGCAAGGACGGCGTTGCCCCTAGCACCTGTCAGGGCTGTGGTGGCCGCGGTATCAAGGTTGTCATCCGCCAGATGGGTCCCATGATCCAGCAGATGCAGCAGACCTGCCCGGACTGTAACGGCGAGGGCGAGATCCTCAAGGAGAAGGATCGCTGCAAGCAGTGCAACGGCAAGAAGATCAACACCGAGCGCAAGGTGGGTATCTTTCTGACAGCGTCGAGCGAGTTGTGTTTGCGCACCACCGCACCATCCCAGGCTCACAGGTTGACACCCCTGTGCCATTGATCCTCCTGGCTTGCAATCTGCTCACTCGACTCGATTTCTGCTTGGCGTGTACGACTGTGCTTTTGCAGATCCTCGAAGTCTTTATCGAGAAGGGTATGCGCTCGGGCCAAAAGATTCCCTTTGCCGGTGAGGCCGACCAGGCCCCTGGCATCATCCCGGGCGACATTATCATTGTTCTTGAGGAGAAGGAGCACGCGCGATTCACCCGCAAGGATGATGATCTGTTCATCAAGGTCAAGATTGATCTGCTGACTGCGCTGACTGGCGGCCAGTTCTCCATCAAGCACCTCGACGACCGCATCCTGCTCGTCAACATCCTCCCGGGAGAAGTCATCCGCCCTGGAGCACGCAAGTGCATCCGCCACGAGGGCATGCCTCGGTATGTGACTGGGCCACATGCTGCCGTTGGGCATGATGATTTGGTCTGGGCGTGGATGTCGCCTGTGCAGATTCTTTGGCTCTCCTGGCGGGGGGGGGGTGCTCCGACTGACCTGCACCGATTTCTAATCATGTCTTCGTCACTCTGTCCAATTTGCGCCCTTGATCCCCTCACCCTCGTCATCGACTATGCCATGTACCACATCCACCCGATCGTCCGCACACATCCCGTCGCTCCTGCTTGGACTGCGCAGATACAAGAACCCCTTCGACAAGGGCGGCCTCTTCATCGAGTTTGAGGTCGAGTTCCCCGAGAACAACTGGGTCACCGACGAGGCCAAGTTCAAGCTGCTGGAACAGGTCCTGCCTGCTCGCCAGCCGCTGCCTGCGTTCGGCAACGCTGTCATCGACGAGGTCGTCCTGGCCGATGATGAGCCCTCGTCCGGAAACCGATCACGGTACGCGCACGACGACGACATGGACGAAGACGAGCGCGGACACGGCCCCCAGGTGCAGTGCGCCCAGCAGTAAAGGATGAGTGGGGCCGCGTCCCTGCTGATCATAAGAAGGCTGTTTTTTGCCGGCGGGTGGCCTCGTTCTGTCTCCAAGCCTGCGCTGCCCCCTCCCACCGATCTGCACCAACGCTCGTCAAGAAGCAAGGCAGACACGCATCTTCTGCGAGAAGAGAGAGGGTCATTTCATATTCTCAACTACCCCGTCCGCCCCGCTGGCTCCACACAGCATTCCCTGCTGGCCTTGCCACCACGCCATCATCACCACCCACCGCCCCCTTGGTTCATCTTCACCCCCCCCTCCTCCCTCTCCGCCCTTTCCACGATTCATTTCTTTGCACGATCCAGCCGCACACTTGTCATGCAACCTTTATGTACAGTCTGTGCAGAATTTAAAAGAAAAAACGAGACTGTGCCCACTTTGAGTGCATCGGTCACTCTGTTTTGGCTTCAGAGGTACATTTCATGTTCAGTCCATGGCACTTTGCTCTGTGAGTTGGGGGGGGGGCCGGGCAATCCAAGACACTCGATTCTGTGTCAGCACACCTGCGATTCTGCACACGTTTCCCATTTCTCGTGCAAACACTCGATTGGAGCCACTGGCGATGATCCGATGGCAGAGAGCGAGTCTATTGAGGCCAGCCGCGCTGATGGCCATCGGGTGGGCGGTGAACCATCCACGAGTGGAAGGGCCTCCCTCGCGGCTGGATAGCAACGGTCCCGCCTCTCGACCCTTCGCCCCTTCGCTTCTTTGCCCATTTGCCCATTTGCTCATGACATTCGGAACTGCTTGAATGCCGGCGCGCCGAGTGGCAAATAGTCGTCGTAATCCACATCGTACTCACGCCGCTTGCGCTCCGCCATGTCGGGTGGGTGGTCACCCGAGCTCCGCAGGAGCAAAGCGCCGATTCCGCCGTTTGCGTTCGCTCCCAGTTTGGCGACCTTGGATGCGGATTGCAGACTCGTTGTCCCATTCGTCAGCGAATTGGTGGTGTTGGTGCCGGAGATAGCGGTGGTGTCGTCAAGACCATGTACCAGTAGCACCGCCGCCGCTGCTGCTGTTGAGGTGCGCTTCGATGTCGACTGGCCAGCCGGGTCCAGATCAAAGGCATGGACGTTGCCTTGGCGCCCGCCCAAGCCCAGGCTCAGGCCCAGACCCGCCCCCGTGCCAATCTTGATCGAGGCACGCTTGAGAACGCCCGAGTGCAAGGTTGCCACGGCTTGGGATGGTGTCGAGGCCGTGGCCGTGTTGCCGTCGCCGTGGTGGACACCTATCGCGCGGGGGACTCGGTTGCCGTTCGTTGGATCGGCTGCACTTCCACTTGCACTCGGATAGACATGGCCGTTTCTTCGGGTCGCCGCAGAGGTGACTGGCGGCGGTGGTGGCTGCGGTGGTAGAGGCTCCGATGCATACGACTGCTCCTTGAGATGTGGCATTGGGAGAAGATACGGCGCGCATGGCTGTGGATACTCTTTAAAGTACGTATGCTTCAGGGCCTGGGACACACGGACTCGCCGCGAGGGCCGGAAGGTCAGGAACCAAAAGAGCAGGTCCAGTTCGGACTGGGTGGCATTGGGGAAATGGTGACGGGCGCTGTTGCGCTGGATGTTTTGGCTGGTGCTGCTCTGCTGGGCTGTCGGCTTGAACGTGTCGTAGTACGGCAGGTCGGCCAATTCGGGCCAATCTTGCAGGCTCGGAGGCCCCAGGAACTTGTAGATGAGCGATATCTGCTCCAGCTCGACTTTGCCCGGCAGCAGAGGGGAGGATTTAAGGAGCTCGCCAAAAATGCATCCGATTGACCTGGGGGACAGGGGGTATGAGAGACATTGAGTGGGAGCAGTGTGGTTGAATAGGGCCAACCGTCATCTACCCTGCCCGGAATCATCGCTGTCAAAGGGCACAGTCGCACCGCCGTTGCTCAAGTAAACTGACCACATGTCTACGGCCGTCGTGTAGTTCTTGTCGCCGTACAAAAGTTCAGGTGCCCGATACCACAGCGTCACAACCTTGGGGGTCATAGGGTGGCTTGGATATCCAATCTTTCGAGCGAGACCAAAATCCGCTGTCGGGACAAGCACGAAGAAATCTACGTCAGCCTCGGCTCCATGTTTGTAAGGGGGGGGGAGATCAAGAACGAGAGAGCGAGACCGGCGCACTTTGTTTCTCTCAGTCTTACTGCAGTATGGGAATGGTATTGGCGGACCGCTACTGAAAGCGCAGACAGAGCGACAGAAACGAGGACATACCGATCTTGAGGATGCCTGTGGAGGTCAAGAGCAGGTTTGAAAGCTTGAGATCCCGGTGGATGATAAAGTTGTTGTGCAGGTACTCTGTGTGGAATGAATTGACGAGAGCAAGTGATTGATGGAGCGGGTGCAATGATGTATAGGAACAAAGTTGATGGAATGCCATCGTAAGAACAGCGACAACTTCAACATCGGTAATGCATTCGCACTCCAGCAATCCGTTCATGACAGCAAAAGCACCCTGCTTCATGGTCACATCGCCCGCCTGCATTTGCTGGATCCTCACCAAGGCCCTTCAAGAGCTGCAGCATCAGGCACTTCACTTTTGGAGGACAAGTTGAGCACAAGTAGAGCACGAGTTGAGCGTTGGCAGAGGACATCCAAGGGCAGGATTCATGGGAGGTGATTCATGGAAGGCGATTCAGCAAAGTGGCAACGCAAGCGATGCTCCGTCAGTGACGATCAACAGTCCACGCAGGATCAGCAGGGCAGCCGCAGTTGGGTGAGTTGGCGAGGCCTCGTGTTCACTTTGGCTTTGAGTTCAAGCGGCCATGTGCGATCTGAGCTGTCGCATTGAGAGCGTTGATACTTGCCGTGTGCCGGTTTGTACCCGGGAGACGGGCCCATGTTGATAAAGTTGTCCATCAGATGCGCCATGTCGTATTCACAGAACTCCATGACTGCAGACCGTGAAAGCAGCATGGATCGAGAATGCATGGTCAGACCAATCAACCATTCCCGGAGCAGCAAGCGGAGACGAGCAGCATTGACCGAGCGATGAAAAGAGTATCAAAGCGCCTGTACGTACCCATGAAGATGCTGTCTGAAGCGCAAGAGTGAGAGTGGAACGCAAGCGAGGAAATGTGAGTCGAGCTGTACCCCAAAACAGCGACTGGACGAGGGTCTGGATAAACACAAGCTCGTCCATGCATCAGAGAGTGTCCAACGCTCAGATGCTCCAAAGGCGGTGCATCCATTCCAGTATGGTGCCAGGAGCCGGATAGAGCGCCACAGGATGTTGAAGTGTGAAGAGGACAGAACACCATCGAGCTACGGCAGAGCACAGGACGAGCAAGCCGAGCAAGCCGAGCCCAGATCGCCCAAGCGAGGATATGGCGGCATTCGTGCGGCATCGTGCTGGCCCGGCAAGCCGAAGCGAGCAGAGCGTCTATAGGATGGCCCTTATGGAAACGCCGCCGAAAGGCACTGTCGAGTACTCGGTCAAGGAAGAAGGGACGAGGGAAATGGAGGACCTACCCAGCTCGGTGCCAACGATGACATCGTGGACTCGGACAATATTGTCATGATGAAGCGATCGCAGCAAGGCAATCTCTCGGATGCTGCTGATGGGTAGGCCGTCGGTCTCGAGCTCCATCCGAATCTTCTTGAGTGCCCAGATCTGGCCAGACTTGAGATGCCTGGCTTTGTAGACGACGCCGTATGTGCCTTCGCCGATCCGGCCAATCTTGCCGTAAGCATGAACGCTGTCGCAGGTGCCCTGGAAGCGAGAGGGATCGACATAGATGGGCGGGACATCCTCGTTGATGGAGTGGATCGCCTTGATGTGCGACTGGGAGGGCGGCTGGACAAATTGAGACATGATGCCGAATGGTCTGGACGAGTATCGAGTGCACGCAGACAGAGCCGAAAGAAAGGGACGCCGGCGAGGCAAGAGCCAGATCCGAGAGCAGATCCTGGAAGGGAGGTGGTCGACGGTCCGAGCAAACGACAGAAAGTGAATCCGAGACACAGCCGGATCGGTGACGGTGGTGGTGACGGGGTCTGGAGTACTTCTTGTTGGCCGGGCGCAGAGAGCGAGGCAGCAGGAGCAAAGCAGCAGGATCGGGACAACTCAAAGGGGACGACAGGACTTGCGAGGCGACATGAGAAGCACGGCTGGCTGGAATGGACTGGATGGACTGGATGGACTGGATGGATTGGATGGATTGGATGGATTGGATGGATTGGATGGATCGAGCCGGACCTGCACTGCCACAGCGCCACTTCCGCGTCCTGTCCCCAGATGGAAGGTGCCAAATGTGGCTGGCGCGACAAGAGGCAGCGCGTCCGCCAATCGCGTGTCGCGTGGTCTGGAAACGTGGTCCAAGCCCTTGGCCGGCGCGCTCCTGAAACAAATGCACAAAGCAGCACCCAGCTACCAGCGCCCATGGCTTCGACCACCAACGAGCGCATTTTGCGCAAAGCTGCAGATCGCCCAGATGCTATCGAAGGCACTCGTGCTGGGCGTCCCCCCACGCACCGCCTGGCGCTCAAAACTGGCCTTGGATGAGATTGCGGCTCTGGCAAGGACGAAAGCGGAGGTCTGCCGACACATCGGGCGATGCTGGGGAGGGATTCGGCGACGCATCGGGCAGACCTCCTGCGATGGAGCTTTGCGAACAGCTGCGTTTCGCATCCAACATCGCCGACGGCCTGCTGCTTGCATCCACTCGCCTGGCAACACAGAGACATGGCGAGACAGCGGCCCCGATGGCATGCGCGGCAGGCCGCTGTCCAGGCCGCTGCACTCTATCGATGGCCGCAACCCAGCACCCGCATCGAGGGTCCCGCTGGGCTGATGCCTCGGGCTTGGCACGCTTCATGGAGCGGCGAGCACTGCCGCACGTGGAAGAGCGCTCCGATCGATGCGACTTGAGCTGGGAATCGATGCGACTTTGGCTGGGAATCGATACCATGGCCAGTGGGATATGCCATGGCCAGCAGGACCTGGGCTTCGACATACAAAGGCACATCTGCCAGCCCAGAGAGAGCAGGCAGCCGCCGCAGCCGCCGTCGCGAACCAGGCGAACACGCAGCCCATGGCCGACAAGAAACCCAACGGCAACGGCATCCCCGCCGAACAAGCAGCGCACATCCGCCCTTGCTTGCACGCTGGCGGCCTTGCTGCCCCGTGCGACATTGTACCGGCTGCTGTGCATCGGCCGAGGCCAGGCAGCGAGGCGTGTGACGGGGGCTCTCTTCCCGCCTCGGCCGGGCGAGACCCGCTATTTCGGCGACCGAGACGGGGAGCGAGAGTGTGGCAGTCGCTGGTGAGGGGGCGGCTGGCAAGGCTCTCGGGGATCGGCCCGAGGCACGATGGCCAATGTCGCTCCTATCTGATCCGCCTCCAGTTCCTCCGACTTGCACCGACGCCCGCTGTGCTGCCCTCGGCCGTCTGTGACTGCCACCCTTGGCCGCATCGCATCCAACCGGACGAGCAGAATCCAGTTGCATCGAGCTGAATCGTGCTGGATCGAGCTGAATCGTGCTGGATCGTGCTGAATCGTGCTGGATCGAGTTGGAGTCGTTGAATCCAATAGGACCGATTGAATCCAACAGGACGATTGAATCCAGAAGGACGATTGAATCCAGCAGGACCGATTGAATCGGACTGGATCCCGCCACATCGAGTCCGTACCGAGTCTGTACCGAATCTACCAAGTCTGTATCGGGTCACTCTCGTCTCCCCCGCCCCGCGCCGTTCTCTTACCCACCCACAGATTCGACTGCTTCGGCTGCAGCGCCCAAGCGGCGGCGCCTTTCTCGCCCTTCCCCGCCTGCATTGCTGAATCGGTCGCAAACTACTTTTCATTGCCCCGTTGCCGCCTGCCCATCGGCGTGACTATTTGTTTTGGTCCTGTCGCCCCGCCCGTTGCCCTCCCGGCCCTTGCATCCCTTGCATTCCTTGCATTCCTTGCATCGCACCTCGGCCCCCAATTAACCGCCTGGATTAGATTGCTCAGGGTAAGCCCTCATGTCCTTTGCTGCCTCTGTCCAGCGCACCGTTGCCGACTCGACCGCCTGTCAGATATGCTGAATCTGCTGGATCTGCTGGATGTCTTGGATATTCTGGATGTCTTGGATATGCTGGATATGCTGGATATGCTGGATATGCATTCCGGCGGCATCTCTGCATCCACACTCCATCCCGCCGCCTCATGCATCCATGTTGACTCCCCTGCACCATGGCCTCGCCAGAGTGACCCCCTCGCCGGTACACTCGCTCTTCTTCTCCACCGTGGCTTTGTCCTCTCCGTCTCGGCTTTACTCTGTTTTGCCTCCCACTCTCCAGCGACCGGCTGTCGCTGCATGGTCACAGCCGCCTCTGCGTCCATGCAAATCTGTCGTCGCCTTTGTCGGTCCCTTATTCGGCTTTGTCAATCTGCTGCACTCTGACCCCCTTCCCCGTCGTTTTTACATTATCCGGCTATCTATTGTCCGCGCCGACTTGCTTTTGCCGCCGCATATTTGTTCTCTGCCCCGGCCAGTCTCTGCCTGCTCGTTTTCCGGCCTTTCCAATTCCAGGCACCGCCCAACCCAACCCCGTTGTGTCGCTGCTCGTCACGCCTCGTCGCCCATTCCATCTCCCCATCTCCCGGCTCGTTGCCCACGCTGGCCACTACGCCTGCCACCCGGCACACCAAGCCCGTTCGCTGATTCGCATCTCCTCCGCTCGTCTCCCTTCCCATAGATCATGGACTCTGGCAACGACAAGCCCTTTTCGCTCTCCAGCTTCCTCCCTCGGCCTCGGGCTGCCTCGCGGACCCAGCTGGCCGTCACCACCGCCCTCCCGGAGAGCGTGCCCGCCGAGCGTCCTCCACTCACCGAACGCACCACATCCCTGGATGTGGTCAGCTCCATCACCAACGCCGGCTCCATGTTTCCGAGCATGGACCGCGGCCAGCGTCTGCTCTCGCCCAGAACCCGCCCCCTGCCCGACGACCTTCCGGGCATGGGCCGGACCGTCGACTCGCCCTTGGACTCGGCCCAGTCCCGCCCTTACGACATTCCCGTCGATATCCCTCCCGCTCTCCGCGCCCGGCCCCCTCCCCGAAAGACATCGCATATCCCGCCTGGCCTCCCGACTCCGCTGATGATTCCGCTGCATCCGTCGACACCCGTATCCTCCTATCCATCGTCGTCGTCGGCAAAGTCGCCGTCGGCTGTCTCCGGCCCTCCGCCTGTAACACACTTCATCCCGCCGCCTCCTCCCCCAGCCCCCCTTGCCCGACTCGTGATCCCTCTCCCAGCCCCGGAGAGCGATCGTCCCGAGCCCCTGTCGCCAACCCCGTCGCTCCTTCGCTCACGATCCCAGCCCAACATCATTGCCGGCCGCTGGGACCCGCAGGCCAACCCCGACGTCTTCGCCAACTTCCCATCGCATCCCTCCTCCCCTGCCTCAAGCACCCCACCGCAGTCGCCCTGGAGTCCGAGAGACATTCGGCACATTACCCACTCCCACAGCGCCGGAACCCTCTCACCAAAACCCATCCTCGTCGTCAACGTCGCAAAGGCCTCCTCGACCGCTTCGTCGGCCTCGGCGTCGTCGTCGTCATCCTCTGCCCGATCCCACGAGCCGTTGGTATCCTCGCCGCAGGCCCAGAAATCTGCCCCGGCCCAAATCCGGCTCTTTGAGCGTCCGCGGCGATACCGTCGCTCCTCGGAACTGCCCTATCTTGTCTCGGGCAGCGGCAGCAGCAGCAGCCCCTTCCACACCGACCCGCGCTCCCAGGGCCTTGCCCCGATCCAGGAACAGGTCCAAGTATACACCTCCGAGGGCACCATGCCCCTCCCCCAGCTTGCCTCCCGATCTGCTCCGCCGTCTCCGACACCTTCGAGCGATTCGTCAGCATCCGATAGTCCGCCGCAGCCGATCGCACCCAACGCCATCCCCGCGGAACAACTCCTGTCTCCCCGGCTCCAGTTCGAGCGGCCCCCGCGTCCGACAAACCGAGTGAACCGAACTCCTGTGATCCCTGTCAATGCCATGATCGCTAGTCCCCCAACCGTGCCGCTGCCGCCACTGCCGCCTGCCGATGAACCCCCGAATATTCCTGTCGCTGCGAGCTCGTACGTGGACCAGCCTGTGGCCCAGTCTGTGGGCCAACCTGTTGCTCAGCCTGTGGGTCTGCGGGTGGGCCAGCCCGTCAACCGCCCCTCGCGCCCTGGGCAGTTCCGAGATCCCTTCCGCCCCAATACCGCGCCTCTGCCCAACAACCCTGCGACATCAACGCCAGCCTCCCTGAGCCGCCCGAAACCCGGCGGCGGGCTTCCCGTTCCAAAGCAGCGTCCCGACTTCCCCGTCAAGGATCCGATCCAGCAAGTCCTCGGTGAGCTCAAGCAGACCATCAAGATCTACCACTCGACCCAGCACGCGGAAATGACCAAGGTCTTGGTCGACTATGACCAGTTTCTGATGCGGTTCCTTCGTGCAAAACGCTTCAACATCCAGGAGAGCCTGACGATGGTGCTCTCCTACTGGAACTATCGAACAAAGGTCCTCAAGATTTCGCTGGATCGGTAAGCTCGCCGTACAACCGCTGCGCGCTCGAGGAGTGCGATTTTGCAGGAGGCCCTGCCATGGTTTTGACCTGGGCAGCACGGCAACATCCCGTAGCACTGGCCGAGTGGCATTGGCCGAGTGGCATTGGCCGAGTAGCATTGGCCGAGTGGCGCCTCCATGCTACGTGATCACGGGGCTCGGCCGTCAAAATCATGGGATTGTATCGCCAGGATTCTGGTACATCCTGGTCTTGCCGCTGTATCCCTACCTCGCTGACATGTCCTTGCCCTGCCAGTGTCTCTGACGCCGTCTGCGAGATCCTCCGAAGCAAGTTCGTGACGCTGCCGCCCATCCGGGACTCGGGCAAGCGCCAGGTCATCCTGCTCCACACCCGGCGGCTCTCCAGCAAGTCGGACCAGGGCAAATTCGACAGCATGGACATCATGCGGGCTCTCTGGCTCGTGCTGGAGATGGCCTCCGAAGACCGCCTCACGATCATGTATGGCGTTACCATCATCAATGACGCCACCGGTGCTGGATGGGTATGTTCGGGCTCTATGCTCCCCATATGAGTTCCATGTGCTTTATGAGCTTTATGGGTGGCAGAAATGGTCGTGAAGGCTGGAAACCGACTTTGAGAGGCGGCAAACGTCGCGTTGCATTGGAGCAATTGACCACGCAGGCAATTGACCACGCAGGCAATTGGCCACGCAGGCAATTGGCCACGCATGCATGGACAATCGTATGCATGGACAATCGCACAGCCGTGCATAAGTGCGGCCCCTTCACCACCTTCCTCACCTGCACGATGAGTCCCCTTCATGATCGACTCATTCACGTTGAACACCACTCCCCGTCACCACCAGGACAACTTGAGCCCGGGACTTCCCAAGCTACTGATCAGCTCCCTCCAGAACCGCTTCCCCCTGCGGATCGGACGAATCTACGTGTTGTACCCGACCCAGATCATGAAGCTCTTCTGGACGACGATCAAGTCCCTACTCAAGACCAAGCTGATGTTCCGGGTCGTGCTGCTCGAAAACGAAAACGATGCCTCGCAGGTTCTCATCAACGACTTTGGCCTCGAGTGTCTGCCCGAGTTCATGGGAGGCAAGGTTCCCTTTGACGAAGCCCAGTGGACCGAGGAGGTAGGATTGGCCGGCTTTGATGTGTGTGGCCCGGCACAGTGATCGCTCGCTGTTGCTGCTGCTGCCGGTGCTGTTGCTGTATGTCGAAGCGGATGGAGGACGCTCAGCCAAGTGACCGGCGAGGAAGCATAATGTGAGGGAATCAGTGTCTTCGTCCACTTCCGGTGTCTCGGCGTTCCCCGCTCACAATCGCCATTGTGCTGCAACTCCCACACGCCCATCCCAGATCCTGTTGACGGTGCTGCAGGCCGACAGCCAAACCAAGACAACGGTGCTCAACCGCCAGCTTTCCAACAACCGAAAGAATGTCGTGATCGCCCCCAAGCCGCGAGTCAACACTCAAATCCAGGGGCTGTTGGACCAGCTGCCTCCCTCCTAGAACCATATCATCTCGACCCAGATCACAGCGGGGAAGAGAGCGAGGACACGATCCTAGCCCTCAGACCCTGGCCCTCACGCCCTGGCCCTCACGCCCTGGCCCTCACGCCCTGGCCCAGACAAGAACAATTCGACACATGTACAAACAAAGCACCTCGACGGCATTCAATATCTCCCGCCTGATCACCACTCACGGCGCATCGTACATCGCATGCCATACTCTATCCACCGTGTTTCTGCCTCCGCTCCCCTGCCCTTCTTCCAGAATTCATACGGCCAAGCTCAGTAAGCATCGTACAATGAAGCCTTGCAGGAAGTCGAGGCCCATCCAACGTTGATTCGGGACCGTTTAACTTGATTTCGTTTCCCTTCTCGCTCTCTCTCCTCGCGACTCTTGAGAGGTGATGGGCTATTCGTGCGATTTATTTGTTATCGATTTCAGCTCCACTTCATCCCTCTTGGCGCCTTGCGTCCCTGTCCTGTCCGATTACGCCGCGTTTGTCCGAATACGACGAAGTGTCCCATTTTTTTCTTTTTCTCCGGCGCGCTGTATATGTATCTGTCTATCTATATGTTGTATTTATTGGATGTGCTGCACCCTGTTGTAGGCTGTTCTTATTTTCTCCCTTTCCTTCTTGTTTCACTTGATAGCTGACCAACGCCGATAACCCGTCTTGCCGCCTGGGACGATTTCCACTTGCAGCTGCGCGAACGTTGCTGTTGCTGCTGCTGTTGCCACTTCTATCACTACTTCCACTGCTACTGCTGTTGTTGTTATTGCTTTGTGCCAACAAATGAAGCTGAGCGTGCTGCTTTTTACAGCTGTTTGCTTGATGGATGGGAATAAACACATCTTTCATCCACAATGACGATCCACCCTCGTTCGACCCGAGGAACAGCACTTCGTACGGAGCGGTCCAAATGCTCGAACATGTATTGGTGGGCCAGGAGGATAGACGTGTACTGGTATACGTAGACTCGTGCAAGGGCAAGGGCAAGGGCAAGGGCGAGGTGCAGCAGGACAGGACAGGAGCTCTCAACCAGAATGTCGCTGCAGTAAGCTTGTAAGGTGGGCGGGGGAGATGGGGGATGGCAGCGCGAGTGCGGCCATGGAATCCAAAGAAACACGGTGCCAAGCAACAGAAGCAAGCACGCATAGGCTTAGGGAAGACAGAGCGTGAGAGAGGAGGTGCGGTGAGAGTGTGCGAGATTGGAGCGGAGGCATAGTCTTTGTGGCTTTGTAACCCCCGGAAGACAAGTGGCCAGGAGGCTTCAGGGAATCAACACGAGCCACCCTGGAGCAGCACGATCATCATGTCCGCCGCCCTCCCCCGCCTCTCGACAAGGTACAGATCCTATGCGGAGCGGCCAGGAACCAGCCGCCTAAACATCGTGTAGATGATGACCAAGCAGGCCCATCTCCATCGGCAGAGTCGCAAGAGCAGCGGCATTTGGCCCGATGATCCGCGAAATCTGTTCGTCGTAGCGACTGCGGAGCGGGCATTTGGTGGGATCCGCTTGTCCATCGGATCCGATCGAGCGGGTGCATCGATGATTCTCCAGCACAAACCGGAGCAGCCGTGGTCGAGTCAGCAGCTCATCCAGGATCGTGAACGACATTGTTAATGACTGAGATCCAGTGGGGTGGGCCGCGACGGTCGAGGTTGAGGCGGAAGCTGAAGCTGAAGCAGGCGCGGGCGCGGGTGCAGGGGCATGGGCAGGGGTAGGGACGAGAGGCAGCGTTGAAGAAGTAGTAGACGGCACCGTGCGCTGTCTTGGTGGATTAGAGTGTGGCGGTTGTTGGCTTGCGTGGCTTGCGTGGCCGGCCTCGAGCGACGAGCGCCACGACGGCTGCATCCGTGCGTGAGGCTGGGCCATGTTTGGAACTGACTGAGGCCAAGGGTTCGACCGAGTCGGAAAGTGCTCGATGGACGGAGACAGTGGCGTAATCTGGATGAATTCCTGGTGGACATCGAGCCGGTCGAGAGCCAGGCGGATGATCTGTTCTCGTCGAGATTCGGCTTCACGAAAAAGTGCCGGATCAATCCATCGAATGTCGGCATGGTTCACGTGAAGACGGGCCTCTGGGTTCCCAGCGCGGCCTGTTATCCCGTCCATCGCCAGGGCTTGTGGACGAAGAGGCATTCGAACATTGGCGACTTCATGGGGCAGCCAGAGGGCGCACTCTGCCGGAGCAGCATGGACAGCACCCCAGAATGCATCGCGCGGACTTGACTCGCGCTCTAGCAGCCAGCGAACCATGTCGACATGGTACTGACTGGCGGCGAGCATCACCAGGTCCGAGGACTGGATCCGAATCGGCTTGTTCAGGGCCCCTTCGTACGGATGACCGATGGACGCTCCCTGCGAGATCAGGTATTCGGTGACATCCACGTGTCCGTAGCCGATCGATTCCTTCAGGACTTGCCGCAGTATCGACTTTGATGTCGGAGCATGTTTGAGCACGCCAACATCCTCGATCAGCCACTGAACCAGCTGCCGATCACCCGCCCTGACACAGCCCAGCAGCCAGGGCCGCGAGGAGTGCGACGGCGACAAAAGCAGCCCGTTGGACTGCAACAGCGTCGCGAGGTCGAAGCGTGGGCAGTTCGGACCGGCGATGGCATCGGTGATGTAAAGATCGGTCACTACATGGCCGTTGGCGATGAGGTACCGCAGCCCGTCGAGTCGACCATCGGCTACACCGATATGCCATTCGCAAACAACTGGCTCGTTTGTCGGTAAGTCTCCTGGTTGATCCGCGGCCCGCAGCGAGACCTGGCGCAGAGTAAGCTCGTCAAGAACGTCTGGTCGCGAATACAGGATGCCGAGCCTGAGGGCGTACTTGAATATATCCTCAATCTCGGGCCAGTGGCTGGGTTGGGTGGCTGGATGGGCAAGGGTGTGTGCTGAATGTCTCGATACAAAGTCGAGTTGCAGCGCATACCGAAACAGGTCCATGTGGCCGTGCTGGATTGCCATTCTGATCATGTACTTCCATACCAGTAGCACATCCCGCTTATCGTCGTCAATGGCTGTGGCCAACGAGTTGGTCAAGTACCGAGGGAAGGATACGTCGTGCCGGAGAATAAAGTCGATTGCACGAATGTATCCGCTCCTGAGGACCCAGCCAAAGAAGCTCAGACATGACTCGCGATGAGGATATTCCCTTGGGGCTCGATGGCGGTCCGTCAACATTTGGTGATACTCGTTTCGGATGAAGTTGTCGGGAACCAGGAATAGCTCGTGTGGGGACCTGCGACCAAGCCAGCGGTAGTAGCAACGTCCGGGGATCCGTTGGGCATCCAGGGGACACCGTACCGGACTGAACGATGGTAGGGCAGGATGAAGTGCACGTCAATGAGGAGGAGAGTTCACAAGGGTTGGGGTCGACAGCCCGAGGCCGTGAAGTGAATTCCAGCAGGCGAAATGCGAATGGATTCAAGGAAGGTCAGCACACCGATTAGAATGGCGTCGGTGATGGGCAGGAGAGAGCGAAAGTGGCTAGAACGGAAGTAACAGCGACAGGAAGCAGAGCGAGCCGGCCTTCAGCAGGATCGAACTACGACAGAAGAGCAGCGGTCGACTTACGAAATGGGCATATTGTAACCGTCGAGGAGTTGAAACGCAGTCCAGAACTGCTTGTGGGCAATGTTGAGAGGAGGACAGCTCTCTGGTCGATGGCCCCCGGCCGAGGCATCTTGGGCGGCCCGCCGGAGAAGCGAGAGCACCAGCTCCTCAGACCGCAGGAAGGTGAATGGCAGCACCGGGAGCTGATGCAGCAGCTTGTCCAGCGGAGCGTAGTGAAAGAGTAGCCACCGGATGCGCCACTCATCCGAGACCAGCGAGTAGGTGCGCCGACAGGAGCCAAGAAAGGCCGATGGACAGGGCAGGCGGATGAAGATATGGCAGAGCAGCTCGTTGGGCAGCTCCAGAAGGCCGACAGCCGGCGCCGGCGCCGAGGAGACTGGCTCAGGAGCAGCAACAGCCGACATGGATAGGAAGGACAGGGGACGGTGGACGCAGACGGTTGCGGGCGGACCGCTGTAGATATGGCCACGGCTCGAGAGCAGATCGGCCAGGACGGCGGGTGCGCTGGGAACGGGGTCGATCGGGCGATGGAGGAGTGTTTAGGCTTGAGGGCAGAAAAATGGACCGACAGCACGGCGTTGCTCGGAAAACAAACGCGGCCTGAAAAAAAAAAAGTTGGGCGGCTGACAGACATGCATCCAGAGCCGAGCATGCAGCACCAGGTCAAAAAAACAACAACGGGCTCTGGGGCCATTTGATTGAATTGTCTGGTTGAGTTGTTTGGTTGAGTTGTTTGGTTGAGTTGTTTGGTTGGACGTCGTTACAACCATCGTTACAACCATTGTTAGAACCATTGTTAGAACCGTTTGTATTTTCGGTTGGAACACAAGCGGGTATGATGGCGTTGCTGCAGCGATAGCACTGGCACTGCATCGTTATTTCTCGCTGTCATGTTCCGAGGGCGATTGCAGTTCGCACTCAGCGACGACGGCGTTGGTCCCAGCCAACCACCCCACAGCCCGGCCTCCTCCCCATTCCCTCCCGCTCCTGCTCCTGCCTTCCGGGTGCCGGCACCAGCAGCGCCCATTGCCACGGCGTTGCTCCCACGGCACTGCATCGGCCCCAATCCAGGTCGGCTGGTCCAAACAAATGCTCTTGGTGGTGCCGCCCAACACCAGCACGGCATCAACACCGCAAGCGCTTCACGTGCGCAAGCCCCTTTTCCCGATCATCCGATTTGTGGGGTTTGGGTTGGGTTCAAATAGACCCCGGTCGTCCGCTCCGCTTTGCCAGATGTCTGCTCCCTGATCTCTTTGGAAGGAGCTGTCTGCTCTGGAACCTGGCCGCCCGACATGGTAAGGGCATGCTTTGCATGGAGGAACGTCCCTCTCGGCCGAGTGTTGCTCGATGGTATTCGATGCTGCACAGCGTTTGCACGGCGTTGTAGCCGCATCCGCCTGCAACGGGCAGATCCGATGATGCGGCATTGGCAGGTCTGCTCGGCAACGGCACGGCAGGAATAAAACAAGCCTGGAGACGCCTCGTCAACTCGTGTTGTAACAGCTCCCTGTCTTGTCTCAACCCCGGCCAACTCGGATCCACTTGCAGTCCGAACCAACCCAGGTCGTCACGAGGGCCTCAGCTGCAGTGCTGGACGCACTCAACAATCCCCGTTTGAGCCTGCTCAAAAACATTCTTCTGGTGGTGTTCCTGCACCAGGCTGCCCGCCAAGCGTACCGGCTGGTCTTTGTCCGCGGTGTCTCGGCCTCGTGGCAGCAGTTTTCCAAGGAACTCATAAAGGTACGCAGACCGGGCCTGGCTCGATCTCTGGCGGATGCGATTCTGCGCATCGCTGGATGGCCGACAACTCGAAGCCACCGGACGTGAATATGGCATCGACTGATTCGTCGACAAGAGCGAGTGCACGGAGAAACAATCATTCAAAGCTGCTCGCATACGGGTATACGACGCTAACCTTGTTGGAATGTGGGGCTTCAGTGGTCGATCAAGATCATCCGAGCCACTGTCCCGGGCGTGGATGCAAAGATCAAGAAGGAAATCGAGAAGGCTGTCAAGTCAATCGAGAGCAAGAATGCACCCGACGTCCCTGGTGAGGTCAAGTACCTCACACTTCCGACCGAGGGCTTGACTGACGGGGTGCTCCGAGGCGAACTCAGGCGCTACAAGGGCCTGGAAAGCGATGAGTGGAAGTCCGGCAAGATATCCGGCGCCATCTACCACTCGGTCGAGTCGCTCAATCAGCTCACAACCGAAACGTACGGGATGTTTGGGCTGGCCAACGTGAGTCTCTTTACCATAACCCAACTCGATTCGCTGACAGCTAACCGGGCAACAAACAGGGCGGGGCCGGCTCGGCTGGGCAGGGCTGGGCGGGATAGTAACACCGATCCTCTTCCATACCCATCACATATCGGCAACACTCAGCCCCTTCACCCGGAAGTCTTCCCAAGCGTCCGCAAGATGGAGGCCGAGGTCATTGCCATGGTCCTGAACATGCACCATGCTCCGGCCGAGGCATGCGGAAGCGTGACCTCTGGCGGCACCGAGAGTCTTCTCATGGCCGTCAAGACCTACCGTGACATGGCCCGGGAGCTGCGCGGAGTTACAGAGCCCGAAATGTGAGTCAAAAAAATGGTCCGCTGGTGGTGTTTCTGCCGACTTGGGGGCCGCTTGTGGAGTTTTGAAATGCTTGGCGGGCTATGATGTTCGACCTATGACGGGCTCGACTGTCTGTGGCCCACAGTGGCTGTTGCCCTTGAATTGCTGTGCAACAATCTGCTTCAACCATCGAGCTCACTTTGTTGAATCCCTCAGGGTCGTTCCTGTGACAATCCACGTCGCTTTCGACAAGGCTGCCCAATACTTTGGTGTCAGGATCATCCACATCCCAGTCGACCCAGTCACCTTCCAAGTCGATGTTCGCAAGATGGATCGTGCCATCAACCGAAACACCATCATGGTGAGGCTCATTCCAATACCCCTCTCA